TCAAGAATCAGCTGTAACTCTGTGTGCAGTAAATCACTCAGTGTCATATCACCAGTGAAGCTTCTACAAAACGTAACTTTATAAATAGACTGTTATTACTATTGTAACTGTCTCTTACACTATTGTCAGCAGCTACGTGGACGTGTGGATGATTCCTTGTTTCTATTAGTCGTCCATGCTTCAGCCACAGTGGAGGCTCTATGTTCGCTGTATACGAGTTTATAAATGACGTGATGGTGATTGTCGCTCACTCGGTCTCTCACGGCTCCAGCTTCAACTTGTACCACTTCTCTGTCTTTTCTCTCTCTCTGCCCATTCTAACTCCATCTGGCGAAATTCGGCATCAGTATATTCGGGTTCACAAAGATCTCCCCTTGGCTTTGTGGTAAAGGCAAAGTCTTTATTGTCGGTGTCATAATCAGACATGTTGTCGTTAACATTCCGAGCAGTAAACAAAGTGAACCAGACTTATATACTTATGGCTCTAGCTCTCTCGTTAGCTCTCTCGCGTGGCGGCGGTCTGCGCATGTAAACACTGCCGAACAACTGAAGAAAGTGATGGATCGGTGTGCGGCTGTCACCTGACGGCAGCGCGCAGTGATACGAACAGAAAGAAAATAGTGCCAAGCGATAATGAGGTCTGACTTTTTTGGCGACGATGGTTTTGTGATGCAAATGTATCACTCTTTTGAACACATATTGCTTTGAGAAGAAAAACGCTTTAGTATACAGTCCCCACACAACTTGCCGAACTACTTTCCTCAGCACCAAAACCGGCCAGTATCTTGGCTCACCGGACACTTTCGGGGGGTAAGTCGGTGTGGATGCACAACACTGATGACGGGGATGCCATACAGATTTATGTAAAAAAATCCGAACTATCCCTTTAATTTCAAACCAATAGACTTTCTCCAGAGAAAGAAAGGAATGAAATTCAGTTCATTCAATTAACTATTGCCACTGTGTTTTAATACTGATTTGTAAATGTCATGTGAGTACTTTGTTTGTGAATACTTTCTTTGTGTAAAACTGTTAATGTTCATAGTGTGCAATATGAGAGCTATGTCATAACACTCCCCACACAAACTCACATTCCTCACATCATCCCCCACACAAGACGCACCTCATTGGTCAGTCTTTCCCGCCTAACTTAAGACTTAAGAGGAAAAAGACAGACCCCAGCCCAGTTTCGTAGATCACCAGTTCTGACCAGTTCGTGCAGAGTTCAGATCTCTGTACAGCAGAAGATTGCAGAAGCAGTTCAGCTCAGAATGGTCAAGATGTAGTAGAGCCGAACAGGACAACACCCAAGTTCTCCCTCCGTTCAAAGCTGTGCCCATCGCTTGACGTGTTTTTATTCGAATACCTGTAGCTGATATGATTTGCAAGCAAAGCTTTCATATTTTTGCAAATTTAAATATTTGCATTTTTTGCAGACATAGTCTTTTTGATTTATTAGCCTTAATCTTTGTCCAGCGCTGTTCAGACCTCGTTGACACAGCGTGTCCTCCAATCCTCTGGAACAAAGGAGAGCCTGACGCCGACTGAGCCTGGAAGATTGATCAGATCACGTGGCCTTCGTCCATTTCATCGCGTTTGATTCTTCAGAACCGACGTCCTGAGAACTCAAACCTTCATTGGACCCAACAGGACCACATGGTGACTGGACATCTCCACGCTCCCTGGGTTGTATGCGCACTGTCACAGAATGGCTTGCTTCATCAATTTAGACTCAACACAGAACTTTAGATAACTCTTTAAGTTGTGCCTAATCTCAGATCTCTAGACAACAGTTTAGAGCAACCTACACTCATTTGCATATTTGATATTGAAATGCTGTCTGTTTAACTTGGTCAATAAATATTCATAAACCACAGTTTGCTTTGGTGAATAGTGATGTTATTTCCAGTGATGTCATTCAAAATATGCAGGTCACTGATATGAACAAGAATTTACAAACCTTCAGATCAATTGTTTAATTATTAATTAATTAATTAATTAATTAATTAATTAACATAGGTAGTTGATTAAATTGGATTGGTAATATTTCTCAACATTTGTTGAGTGGTGCCCCCAAATTTACTTCTAGTCAGAGCCAAACACTCACAAAGGCCACGTGAGTGCTGCTTTAACTTAGAACTCCTAAATTCCAATCTGTAATATCAAGTACCCCCACCTACATCTAATGGTACCTCCATGTGAGCCCAGGTAGATTTCTCCTGCATATTTTGGTGCTCATGTGAGGCCAGATGTAGTCACACTACTAAATGGCAAATTAGGCACTGGTCAGTAGTTGTTAAAATCATTAAAAACTAAATTGCTCTTCTTCAGCAGGGGCCTCACCACTGCCGCTTTGAAGGCAGTGGGAAAGACCCCTGTCCAGTGTTTCCTCTGGTCCAGACAAATACTCAGATGTGTTAAAAACAGAGCTTTGACAAGATAAAATATGACATCTGATAGTGTTTATCTTTCCCATGAAGTGGTCTGTAAATTGCTTACAGAGAGAGTCTGTGGGAGTCAAATAAAATGTGCTAAAATCAGGATTTCAAATGCTGTCAGTGGTTGAAGAGAGAACTTTTGGATTATTTTTGTGGTTGGAAATTATTGTGGAGAAGTAATGGTTTCTTGCGTTTCTTATTGCACTTTTGTATATTTGTTGTTGATTGCTGAATAATTGGTGATTTATTGTAGTTTTGTTTTTTCAACATCCTCCTGTACTCTCTCTTGGATTTTTCAACTCATTTCTCCATGGAGGTTTTAGTTTGGTTTTGATGTTTTTAGTTTTGAGTGGAGCAACCGGATCTAGAGCTGACTGTATTTTGTTAAAATTGTCAGTAATAAAATCGCAAGGGGCAAGTAAAACCATTGGGGGATTTTAATCTAAAACTTAAATAAAATTTGCAGCCACTTTAGGGGTCAGATGCCAGTTCCTCACAGTTTTCACAGAGGTCTCCCACTGTATAAAACCAGTCATATTAAAAAAACACAGTAGTGGTCAGACACAGCCAGGTCAACAACAAAGGACAAATTTGTGGTCAGGCCATAGGTGATGACTAGCTCCAGAGTGTGCCCCCTGTTGTGAGTTGGCTGTGTGACGTGTTGAGTAAAATCCATATAATTAAGAGCATTTAAAATGTGTTTGCAACAGGGTCGAAAAGGTTATCTATCTATGCAAGTTAAAATCATTGGTTATAATAATTAAAGGACTTGTGCAAAATAGGTAAAAACTCAGAAAACTCATTGATAAAAAGATTGTATTTTTTTATTGGTCTTGTATACCATGACACGTTAATTTTTGTGTCTGTGAATGGCATGCGCTTCTATTTAACTTTGTTCAATGGGGTGCCAGATTTCTTTAGTGTTCCAGGCGAAAACCCGGCTAAACACACCGTAAAAACACACCTTACGATTTTTAGAGGAAAAACATTCAATCTAGGAACAGCCACCACCATCGCATCGCGCATGCATCACTGAAACAAAACAAAACACTTGGCTCTCTTCTGCGCATCAGGTTGCGCTGCTGCATAAACTTTGCGCTTGGCTGTTTCTGTTTCTGGCATTTGCTATAAAATTATATAGCCTGTATACAATTCATATTGCTCACAGCAATGTATTGAAAAAAAAATACTGATCTAGTTTATTTTTGGAACTATGAACAAACTATTAACTATAAAAAATTATGAAGTAGTTCATTTAGAAATTTTAAACTGAAGTTTGAACTAGTTGATGAAGAAAATTTACTTTCCCAGCACAGCCTAGCACCTATCTTACTGGCAAAGTAAAATTCCACTGCTTGTGAGAAAATAGTCCCACAACATGCGACGATTCATGCGATCCAAGGTTAGTTTTATTTCAAACATTATTCTATCAAAACAGACATTTACATCAACAGTCTGGCTTAATAATAGATTTTCTTCAGGTGCTTTGTGGAGTGGATAAGACTGTTTTTAGTGGCAGGCTAACTATGGCCATTGACATGCGCTAGCCTAGCAACAATAACCTCTGCAAATACAAGGACTGGATGGAATATTTACAAAAGTATCTCCACACGCCTCCCACACTCTGGCTAACTAGGAAATGAGGCCCTATGTCCAAAATTCCGGGTTGTCCCTTTAACTCATATTCCTTTATGATTTTTTTGGATTTCCACTGTTTCCTCTGTACCAGGAGCGGTGGTCAGCTGCAGCTGCTGGTGTAGACGGCTCCTCTGATGGTGCTTTCTCAACTGGTTCACCTGTATTCAGCCTTACATTTTACTAGGTGTAGTTTCTATGTATTTTAGCATGTTAGTATGTGCATGAGTGTCTGTGCGTGTGTGTTGGGGCGGGTCGATAGAAAGGCTTAATACCATATTGTGAAGCATTACAGACAAAGCATTAACGTCTCCATGGAGAAAAGCATTTGACGAACCCCCTACCAGGAAAGTTACAATGTACCTTCGAGGTTTTGGTCAAGAATAACTGTGTGTGAGCAGCCAATAAACTAAAAAACATACAAACAGAAAAGGTAAAAGCAACCTTTTGAATGTCATACACTCTTTGATGTCTGTTGGAAAGAAGCAATCAAATAAATGCATGTTCTTGTTCTGGCTTGATATGGATTGGATTGCCAGAACAAAGCATTCCATTAATCCTGTGCACAAGAACAGTATCTAAAACAGAAAAGGGGGCTATATGAAAGGTCAACCAAGGGTCATAATCATTTCACATGTATTAAGATAACAAAAGGTGTAGCTTGAACATATGGCCTGTACAGAAAGGTAATCAAATAGTCTGTTGTAATTTGGTGTTGAAAAGGCGTATCCTCAGTTGGGGTTTTAGTGTTTTGCTGCGGGCAGTTGAGAAAATCTTGGCACATTCTTTGGCATCAAATTTTTGATGACTGTGAGAAGTGATGCTGGGACAGAGGCCTGGGGGGAGGGTGGGTGGGGATCTTTTCAGGTGCATAGGATATAAAAACAGCAGAGAACACATTGTACCAGTCATCAGTGACTCTCCAAGACAGGCAGATCTCTGAGCAGCCTTCAACAATGGCAACCTACTCCTTCTCCAAACAGTCTTACAGCGGCGGGGGCAGTGGAAGGATCGGCGGGCGCCCGTACGCCCACAGTGTCCATGGGGCAGGGGGTGGTGGCCTGAGAATGTCCACAACCACTCACACCTTCAGCTCTGGAGGTGGTGCTGGATATGGCATGGGTGGGGGTTCTGGATTTAGCTCAGGTGGTGGTGGAGGTTTTGCTGGTGGAGCTGGCGGTGGGTTCGCCGGTGGTTTCGGCGGTGGGTTTGGTGGCGGCGACGAGCTTTCAATCAGTGCCAATGAAAAACTGACCATGCAGAACCTGAACGACCGTCTGGCCACCTACCTGGATAAAGTGCGCAAGCTAGAGGTTGCCAATGCTGATCTAGAGCTCAAGATCCGCCAGTTCTTGGAGGGTAAAACATCTCCGACTGCACGAGACTACTCACCATTCTTTGCTACCATCGCTGAATTGCAGGGAAAGGTAGGTAATATCAATAGTGTCATTCTGTGCATTTTTAGTTTTAAGATTATTATTTTTATTTGTTTTTATTCACACAGATCCAGGATGCCACAAGTGTCAACGCTGGCATCTACTTGGCAATTGACAATGCAAAACTGGCAGCAGATGATTTCAGAACAAAGTAAGTAACCTTAACTAGTTTCTCAGCATTAAACTGTAGGACTAATGAATTAATGTTCCAGATATGAGAACGAGCTCGCCATGCGCCAGTCAGTGGAGGCAGACATCGCAGGCCTGAAGAGGATGCTCGATGAACTGACCTTGGCCAGATCCGACCTGGAAATGCAGATTGAGGGTCTCAAGGAGGAGCTGATCTTCCTCAAGAAGAACCATGAGGAGGTGTGTGGAGAAAATATCCTTTGTGTTCAATAAATGTGGACAACTTTTTAATAAATATGTGGCAAATTTAAAAGTTAAATAAAAATGCTTTTTTTTTTGTTTTTGACTTTTTTTGTCAGTGTTAAACTGTTTTTGACAAAATAAGATAGTTTAGGGGGTGTAGCACTGACTCATCTTTTAATCTTCCCGTATTTCTCTCTCTACAGGAAATGGCAGCAATGAGGAATCAAGTGGGTGGACAGGTTAACGTGGAGGTGGAATCTAAGCCTCAGATGGACCTTCAGGCTGCCATGGAAGTAATGCGTGAACAATATGAGGCTGTAGCTGCCAAGAATAAGAAAGAACTAGAAACTTGGTTCAACAGTAAAGTAAGATTTTAGACTGGGTTAATGATTTGAACCCATTTGTTAAATTGGTGCTTTTTGTTTCAAATATCACAATATATTTCTTTTACACAGACAGAACCACTGAAACAAGAAGTAGCAACCGCCGAAGCAAGCATACAAAGTTCAAAAACTGAAATAAATGAACTCCGAAACACACTTCAAGGCCTACAAATTGAGCTTCAGTCACAACTCAGCATGGTAAGTAGCATTACATATGGGAAACTGACAAGTATTTTATATTTTACTGTTATATTTTTTGTGTCTGCCTGTTTAGAAAGCGGCTCTTGAGGGAAGCTTAGCAGAAACAGAGGCGAGGTATGCCATGCAGCTCCAAGGTTTGCAGATGCGGGTCACAAATCTGGAAGCTCAGATCACCGGGCTGCGTGCAGACATAGAGCGACAGACCCAGGAGTACAACATGCTGCTCGACATCAAGACCAGGCTGGAGATGGAAATCTCAGAGTATAGAAGGCTGCTGGATGGAGAGGGAAGGTGAGACTCGCAGACATCAGAGGAAATTTGAGCCTAATAGTTCATCTAAAACCATCACATGTCTCTGTTTCCCTTTCCAGTGGTGGCTCTTCTTCATCTTCAAAGACAAAGATCCTTGTGTTTACGGAGGAAACTGTGAACGGGGAAGTGGTGTCAAAGTCTGCCACTTGAACCTGAATCCAGTATTAGCAGCACATGCAAATATGAAATAAAGTTGAGTGCTGACTATATCTCTGTCCTTTATCTTATTTTTCATCTGAATATATTATAACTTATGTTATATTAGTATTTTATTCGGTTTGGTAAATGAAAGGACAAAAAGTTTGGCCTACTAGATTATATGGATAAAGTTGTGAGTTGGTGATGACATTTTGACTAAAGATTCTGTCTTACAATATTTAAATAGTGTTCAGCAATTTGTCTTTAACTCACTCTGTTTAAAAAAATGTGCATTATAAATGTTATTTCCAGCACTGAAGGGCGTGCTGGTGGGTATGGATTTAGATTCAGATGACTTCATCGATCCCAGGGGGCAATTCATTTGAAACATTCTTCGTGCAGTTCTCACTTCTTAAACCCAAGCTTTTGTCTGGTGTGCATTTTTATTTCTCCTTGCTATTTTGCATAAGTAGGACCTAATAAGTATAATAACTATACTTTGTTTTTAGTTAGTAGTTTTTGTAAAAAAAATATGTCCTCTTATGAGGACAGTGGGTGTGTCATAACATTAAGAAACGTCCTTTAGTTTTTGGGACCAGAAGGTCCCAGTTAGTGTAAAGCTTTACACAATAAGTAGTTCTCTAAAAATCAATGTCCTCATGTGAGGACAATGGGTTGATCTAACTGTAAGACACAAATATACACCATTGGTTAAAAAAGTATACAACAGTTTATTTTAAAATGTAAACATTAAAATGTATACATCAAATGCAATTGGGTGTTTATTTAAAGCCCTAAACTAAACAAAACAACAACAGTGCAAATAATGCCAAATCTTACCTTTCCACAAAACACTTAACACTAGATAGCCAGGGGGGAATTCATGAAAATCATGCACTTCTGGAAAAGTTTTTAATTTTTGGCAGGGTGTTAGGTATGGGCCTAAAGTTAAAAAAAAAAAAAAAAAAAAAAAAAAGTTGTATTCCAACTTCCCTTTGTCTTAAATTGTTGTATAATGTTTTTTTTGTTTTTTTTTTTTACTTAGTTTGATACAAGGCATTCAATTGATATATTTTTCTTTTATGTTAAATCTATTAACTATTAAAGTCATATTTAACTAAAATAAACTGTCTATATCTCTGAAAAAGTCACATTTATATATTACTCAGGGCCCTAGACCCATAGTTTTACCTCCAAGGTGCTTTTCTTTGTTGATTGGACAGGTCACTATGTGGGCATGTTGGAGCAGTGGTTTGCATTACATCAGTCCCTCTGCTGAGTCCAATTCACTTTGGATGAAAATGTCTGCTAAATACCTGTGTTTAAGGTTTAATTATAGTGTCAAAGATCACATGTGATGAGCCAAAGGACCATTGTCCTGACCCATGGTGCCAGAGCATTCCATGTGTTACAACCAGAATCATATGCGCCTTCCCTGGATCAGATTAGTCAGGCTGGGCCCCTGGAGCGTCTCTGGTACTCTGGATCCTGTGGGTTAACCCTAACTTTCTGGTGGGGGGAGACTCCTGGTCCTCTACCCAGGGACAGTGGGCTTTCCCTAGGTTAGACTAGTCAATTCAATTCAAATTGTTTATTGTTAATTTTCATATGAAACATATGAAGAATTTAAATAGTGTTCCTCTTCTAAATAATAATAATATTAACAATAATAATAATAATTAAAGAGAGTTCAGTATCCTAACAGCCTGGTGGATGAAGGTGTTAGTGAGTCTGGTGAGGCTCCTGTATTTCCTCCCGGAGGGCAGGAGGCTGAACAAATTCTGTATGGGGTGACTTGCATCACTCACAATCAGACTGGAAGGGCTGGAGCCAGAGCACCAGGGATGCTCCAGAGGTGACTCCTGGTGCTACTCCCAGGGACAAGGAGCCTTTCCTGGGTCAAACTAGTCAGACTGGTCGTCTGGAACTCCCTGGTAATCTGGCTGTGGAGCTGGAGAGTCATGGTTCTCTACCCAGGGACAGTGAGCTTTCCTGGGGTTAGACTAGTCAGGCTGAGCAGGATGCGGTACGGGGTGACTTGAATCACTCACAATCAGACTTGGCAGGGCTGAAGCCAGAGCACCAGAGATGCTCCAGGGGGCACTCCTACACAAAGACAGGGAGCCTTCCCTGGGTCAAACTGGTCAGGCTTTGCTCCTGGAGCCTTCCTGGTACTCTGCTTCAGGCAGGTCTGGCTGGGGCCACCACACAAGACCCAATGCAAACACATGCACCCACTCTTAAGCCCTCCTCTCCTGCTAAGCAAAGGAGAAGCGCCCTGGAGGAATTTGGTGACCCTGGTTCTTCGTCGCAGCAAAATTTGGTGACCTAGTACCATTACATTTTGCAATGGACTCTACAACAGGGGTTTTCAAATTGGGTGAATGTGAGCCTCCCCTTAGAGTAGGTAAAGACAGCCGCCCCCTCCCCCTTGCCCAAAGTCCCATCCACCTGCTCTCCCCTCACGCAGGCCTTTGAAGTAAATGCATCTTTTCTGTTCCTGATGAGTTTCAATAACAGCTGATAATATATATATATATATTTTTAGGGCAGGGCAAAAATAAAAAATATGAATTGCATTAATCGCATGAGTTTGAGTGCAATTAATCGCATATTATACGCAAAACCAATTAATGAATTAAAAAGTAGCATATAGCGCACTTTTATTGGAAATGTAAATGAAAGAGCCATACATTTGTTGTGCAAACAGCATTTCTTTCAGAGGGGAACCCTTAGAGCAGAGGTATCAAACTCATTTTGGTCCGGGGGCCGTACCCAACCTACGTTGTTCCCAAAGGGGCCAGATCAGAAAACTCATGGCATATATACCCCAAAAAAGCAATAAGTTCAAATATTTGTGCAGAGAAACACAAATCTATTACAGAAATCTTTTTTAATTGATTAACTTTCTTTTACAAAATATTATGATATTATGAACAACTTGAAACTTTAAGAAAAATGCCATTTCAACACAATGTTTTAACATGAACTTGTATGCAAATTAGAATAAGTCAGTTTTTCTTGGAAAATCCTGCACTCGGCTCCACTTTTCTCATTTTTGACATTTTGCTGTGGAAGGTGTCACGGTCAACAGTCAAAACGATCGTCCTTTAAGAGCGTTTGGAAAGAGGCAAGTCTTCATTTTTGCTGCTCTGGTGGGAAGCGTCCACACACAGAGGTGTTGGAGACGCTGCTATGCTAAGCACCACAGAAAATTACTAATATTTTTATAGAAAATATAATTAAAATATTTTAGTAGAAAATCTGCCGAGGGCCAGATTAAAGGTCTTGGAGGGCTGGATCTACTACTACTTTTTCAATATTTTTTATTTAGTGAGTAATAAACACTACTACTAAAAATAATTTCTAGGCCATTGTTATAAACTTGGACTGATATTTCTTGGGAAACAAAGGGTTAATATAATGGAATGGAAATGGACCAATCACAATTTTTCTTCTAATGGTATCTGGGTAAATCAGTGAAGAAACAAAGTTTGAGATTGACAGTGGTCTTAGCCAATCATATTTCATTGAGTTATGGGTGGAATCCTATCACAAAATCTACAGGGCCTTCTCGAATACCCTGTAACAGCATAATATAAGCAAGACCGTAGTGACAAAAAACGCACGGGACAACTCTATTTGGACGCCTCAGGGGCGCCTGGAAGGAGAAGAAAGAGAAAGAGCCCACGGAAGCTCAGATCCCACGGCTCGTACGGCAGGGCAGAGCCAACCCAGCCAAACCCGCGGAGGCTCAGACACATTGTATCTCACATGGTCAGAAAAAAGTGTAAAAAAGTGTAAAGAAAAGACATCAAACTTAAAGAAACGCTTGTGGTGGAGTTTTTCAAAATAAAAGCCAGTGAGTAACAGACATTTACAAAAAAAAAAATAAATAAAAACTGCGTTAACGGCATTAAAATAATTGTCGGTGATAAAGAATTAATAAGTTAACGCAAAATTTACGTGTTAACGTGCCCGGCCCTAATTTTTTTAATATTGTATTATCATCTATATATATTTTAAGTGCATTCATAAACGACTTTATCAACAGCAAATCATTCCCAACTTCATGCAGCTTAACTGAGGCTACTTTTAACATCAATGAACATCAGTATGACACCAGGACTAAACCAGGACTAATCTTGGACTTGAGAGAGAGACAGAGAGGGAGAACCCCGAGCCCGTGGAGCAGGGTGTCCACAAAGTGTGATCAGGCGACAGCCATGGAGGTGGAGGTCTGTGACGGTCCTTTTGCCTGCGGTCACCCAACGGTCTATGCGGGCGCACCTTCAGCCCTATCCCGACACTCAGTCCTAGTTCAGTTCTTGTTTAGTCCTCCTGGTTCAGTCCTGGTTAATCTGCGTGTGTAGCGCCTTCCCAGTGGCTCTTTGGTGCCTCCCAGGGGAGGCGGGCCTCACCTATTGAAAACGGCTGCTCTACCACATCCTCGTAAAACCATCTGAATCCGATGGCAAAGCTTGAGTAAATTGGTCAAACACATTCTGGAGCATCTCATAGAATCAGGAAACAATTTCTGCACCTTATTTGACTTGATTTCAGAAATAGCCGGTTTCTGGTAAAGATTTTTGCATAACAATATTTTTCACATTACAATGATGGTAACATTTTCAGTATTATTCTTTAAGAATGTACATATGGGTTTAAAGGCCTGAATGATCTTTATATAGTATGTTGTTTCATTTCAGAGATATGGACTGTTTTTCAAGCAAAAAGTGACCCTTACAATAAATTTGACAAGTAAATTGCCTTAAAATAGGAAGGTAATATTGAAATCACATTCCTTCTATCAAGTCAAGTAGAAAAAAATGTCATTACACAACAATTTAAGACAAAAGGAAGATGGAATACAACTTTTTCTCTTTTCGGCGGGGGCCATTTTGGATTTTATGTATACAGGCCACTAGGGGGCACACCCCAACTTGTATCCATGGATTTTTAAAAACCTTAGGCCCAAACCTAACACCCTGCCAAAAATCTAAAACTTTTCAAGAAGTGCATAATCCTTATGATATTTCACAAATTCCCTCCCAACTAAGAATAAATTTTAATCTTCAAAGAAAAAGTTGTAGTAGGGGTGGGCGATATCTCGATATTTTAAATATATCGAGATATTTTTTAAACTCGATATGAATTCTGACATATCGTATATATCGATATAATTTGGATTTCGCTGCTTCCCTTGTTTGCCTTCTCTGTCGTCGCCCGCGTGCCCCCGCCTCCCTCATTTTGTTTGCTCGTGTCTCCTTCACTCCTCACTACCAACGTGAACGCCGAAAGATGGTGCCAGTGAAAAGCTTCTAGCGCCACGAAACCTTTCCAGCATTTACAGACAAGACCATCAGCAGCACATCCTCATATTCCACCGAGTCTTGTCCTTTAGTCCAAAAGAAGTTGAACCACATGGGCGGCAAAGGTGCACTGTTTATGCAAATTAGCCATGCGCTTTTAAGTTTCGTTTCTGTAAAATGTAAACAAGCAAACATTATAATCTCAAACGGGCTGATGTGGCTCTATAGTCGTTATGCTTTATATATTGTAAAGTTTAGTCATGTAAAGTTAATTTATGCAGAAGATTTTAATGAATAATCTGTTGCAGTGTAACTTGTACAATAGTGTTTGGAAACGTTGGGTTTGATCTGCAGTGGATTGTGGGATTAAACCTCAGAGCTCCTTACTGCTGGATAATAACATGGATCTATTAAATTAAGGAACATCCTGAGTTTCTTCTGCTAAAGGAGTTCATGGTTCTGGTTTGGATAACAGAGTTAATACAAAGATGACATTGTGTTGAGTTGTTTTATTTATGAATGAAAAGAAGGAAATATGTATTATTTATTTTATTTTACAGTTAAATTATTATTTATGTAATTAGGGTTTTTTGTAATCTTAAATGTTCCTGTATGAACTGCCGATCTCTTACACTTTAATAAAAAATTTAAAAAAGACCTTGTGGAATTTGGCAGATTTGTTTTTGCAGTTTGCAGTTTGCAGTTTTACGGGGTTATTTTGTCCTGTACAGATATCGAGATATATATCCAGTGTTGGGAAGGTTAGTTTTAAGATGTATTCCCCTACAGATTACAGACCACAAAATGTAGTTTGTAACATAATCTATTAAATTACTTAAAGTGAGTAACGTAATCTGAATACTTTGGATTACTTGATATTGTCATGCTTTTTAAAACTACATGAAAGTAGCAACCACATCCTGAAAATTCATGTTTGTTGTCTTCAAATTGTCTGTTGAGCCCAAATCTCCATGAACAGACTTGTTTGCTGTAGAGAAGCAAAGACTAGGATATTTTAACATAAGATGTTTTGTCTGCTTAAAGACAATAAAAAGCCCAGTCTTTACTAACCATATAAAAAATATTACTGATAGAGAAATGCTTTGTATATGAGATCACCTTAAATTATGTCCACCCTACTGTTAAGTGTCATATTATTTATAAAAATTACAAACATAAAGGCACCAGCCCAGTAAAAATCTGTAATATTGGATGTTTTTTTACTTAAAATGATGCAGAATCAGATTATTATCAATGCCAATTATTAACAACCTCGTCCATTGTGTGACTGACACCACCAATGTTAACAAGATGTTTACGTCGCTCCTATTGCCGCATTCTGTTTGGGTTTCCAGCAATGAATTCAGGTTTTTCAAGGCAACCATCTCTGGAAGATAAGCAGCACTGGAACAACCTGAGTTTTTTTGGCTGGTTTAACTTCATGATAGCTTTCTTTGGGGGCCTTGGGGTACCATTTTCCTGGTTATCCTTGTGATACAGCAGCCAGCTGATGACAAGCACAAGATCCATGAAGTGCATCAGCATGTGAATGGTTCACTTCTTCGTTCGCACACTCATTCGCCTTATCATCCTATCTGACATGTCAACTCCTCCAGTCTTTGAGTTGTACTCGCGCACGTTGCTTGCCACTTATTTTTTGTCCTTCTTGGACCACTGCTGGCAGGTGTCTTCTGGCTGCTCTGCATGAAGAATTGAGAGCATCAGAAGTAGCTTATTGTTATACCACTTGACCACACAGTTTCCCATCTTCCCTGGTTACTGTAGTGGAGGCATCTCTTCGTTTGTGTTTCAGGGCTTTATCATCCAGTAGCTTCTTCACTTGTGGGACCCGGTTCTTCATCACTGTACCAGTAAGATAGATCTCATTCTTCAGCAAATGATCAACAGCTATGGTAGTAAAGAAGCGAACACAGTACACTTCTGTGTATTTACAACTGTAAACTCAGTTACATATTCCCAAGTTTAGCTAACAACATGGTACAATCAACAACATTACATAGTCCCAATGTCCTCAAATGAGGACATAACATGTACTGATGCTCTAGTCTGCTATGATTACTAAAATGTGTCAAATGCCATGTGAAAATAGAGACATTATTCTACATAAATATATTGGTTTCATTCATAAAATGTGTATATAAGCTTTACCTTGTTTTTTTTCTTTCGGGAGGTGCTGTAGAAGATTTTTGTTGCCATTTTTTTTCCCCACTGAAATTGGTGTAATGTTGGGATATCACCACAAGATGGCGCTTACAGTCCCTCAATGTGGCTAACAGGTCAAAGTTTTAAAAAATTGACTATCATGGTGCTAAGAGGCACAAATGTAATGTCCTCGTATGAGAACGCAGGGTCTCAAGAGGTTAAAGCAGTTCTCCCTTCTCACATACACACGAACACCCACAGTGTGTCAGTCCATTACAGTCCACAAGTTGAATTCAATTCAGTTATAACTAGGCAAATAACTTCAAAAAATACTTCCATCGGAATTGAGCAATTTAATCGGACTCTGCGCTGTTGGGCTCCATTACAGAATAAATGAATCTTCAGTTCGTTACAAAAAGAAGGAGGAAAATAACAAAAGGACGACAGCAGCAATAAGTTTTAAGAAGGGTGTAAAAAGGGTTGCACCTGTCCTGTGTGAGAAAAGTGTATGAAGTTTGTGCTGAGGGGTTTTACAGACTTAAAACAGATAGAATAACTGTAAAATATAAAGCAGACTACTTCGCGGATTTCACCTATCGCGGGTTATTTTTAGAACGTATCCCCCGCGATAAACGAGGGACACTGTCCTCTCACCTCACAACCTGTGCACATGGACTCACACTTGTCCCGACCGGGACGGAAAACGGAGAATTTCTTGTCCAAGTCATCGTTAAATGCGCATTTGTGCTTCGGTATGTTGCAGACTGACCGACTGTTTGTGTTTGTGTCTCGCTCCTTCTGAGTCACAGAGAACTAAGAGAGACGCTCAGTTTAATGCCCCCAATGAACGGTACTGAAAACCCGGACATTTGCATCACTTTATTAAAAAAAAAAAAAAAAAAAACCCGGACGCCCAGGACAGGATGCAAAATACGGACATGTCCGGGGAAAAACGGACGTTTGGTCACCCTATTTTACCAGTCTGTGGTGGCGAGCGCCCTGCACTTCGCTGTGGTCTGCTGGGGGAGCAACCCCAGCAAAAGAGACATTGGGCCAATTGACAAACTGATCCGTAAAGATGGTCACGTGATCGATTGTGATCTTGAGACTTTGTCACTATGAGGGACAGGAGGACTTTGACAAACTGCTCTCCATCATGGGCACTCCTTCTCACCCACTGTACCAGACTATAGAGGGACAGATGAGCTCGTTCTCCAACAGGCTCCTACAGCTCCACTGAAACGGTGAGAGATACAGAACTACAGTCATACCATACCGTACAACAACTCACCCTTATGTAACAGTGTAACAGACAACCTTCTGTCCTGTCAATCAATCATCATATCATATCATTTTTGTACAGTTTTTTCCTTACTTATTTAGAATATACAGTACATATATATATATGTGTGTGTGTGTGTGTGTGTATGTGTGTATGTATATATATATATATATATATATATATGTGTGTGTGTGTGTGTGTATATATATATATATATATATATATATATATATATATATATATATATATATATATATATATATATATATATATATATATATATATATATATATATATATATATGTATATATATAGATAGATAGATAGATAGATAGATAGAGTGAGCACTCGGGGCTGTAACCCCCAAATTGGAAGAGTGGCTACAGCAGATACCAGGAAAAACAATTGACATCTCAGTCCAGAAAAGCGCGGTACAGGACTAGGAACAGCAAAGATACTGCGCAGAACTCTCAAGCTCCCAAGCCTCTGGTAGAGGACCCGATCTGCATGAGGATGTGAGAGACCAACCACCGTGGAAGGTGAGGAACACATTAGATATATAGGACTTTATACAACAACTGTTTATCACACTATAACAGACATACTTTTATGGTTAGGTTACTTGTCATGAACGTGCATTTTCGAAATATGTCAGATCAGAACTGATCCCACTCCTTCATCTCTGCTCTCCAGCGCACTGAGTCTTACACTGGACCACCACTCCAAACAAATGTCTTAAAACTTTTGTTCAGACGCATCGACTTATGTGTTATGTTGCTTTTATGAGACGAACAAATCTTTTCTATGACATGGCATCGTCATGATAAATTCACACTATTGAATCTATAGACGTAAGCTATTATTGCATCAGCGTTTCTGCTGATAACACCATGAATATGAGGCAGATCGTCCAAGGTGGTGTAGAACATTTTCATGGCCTCTAAACAGTTCCTGCAGCTTTTGATTTGGCCATTTCTTGTGTAATTAATCTTATAGGAAAATACTGCAATTGGCACAGTACACAGCTGACAGTCAGTCTTCAAATGAGCCAGCCATGTTTTACACATGTGTTCATTATTATACAGCAAGGCACATTAAAAAGCCAGAAACAATGTAATGTGTCAGCACTAAAACTTTATTTTTCTTTTGCATGTGCAGTTAGAACTGAGTTCAGGTTTATGTAGTAGTCACTTTGCCATCCCTAGATTCCTCCGTGACCACAACAACCCTGGTGGTCTTTGTAGTAGTGGAGCTGCTGCTGCTGATGCTAAAGGAAAAACAAACATTTAGCTCAGTGTTTATGATTATGTCTAAAGCTCATGTTTCATGTGAGTCCCTTGAGTCTCACCTTGCCTCTCCATCCAGCAGCCTTCTGTACTCTGAGATTTCTATCTCAAGCCTGGTCTTGATGTCAAGTAACATGTTGTACTCCTGGGTCTGTCGCTCTATGTCTGCGCGCAGCCCGGTGATCTGAGCTTCCAGATTTGTCACCTGCATCTGCATACTTTGGAGCTTCATGGAATACCTCCCCTCTGTTTCTCCTAAGGTTCCCTCAAGAGCTGCTTTCTGAAGGAATCAAATTAGATCATATTAAAGACATAATCATGAATACATCTTACTTGTCCACCACAACCAGTGACTTTACCATGCTCAGTTGTGACTGAAGCTCAATCTCCAGGCCTTGAAGTGTGCGACGAAGTTCTGAGATTTCTGATTTGGATGTTACTAAGGTTTCCTGACTTGTTGCTACTTCTTTGTTTAGTTCTTCTGTCTGTAATTGATAAAATTCAGGGTGTTTACAATTTACAGGAACAATCAATTGTGGGCATGTATCACTGCTAAAGTCTTACTTTGGCATTGAACCATTGTTCAAGTTCTCTCTGGTTCTTGGCAGCTACGGCCTCATACTGTTCACGAATTTGAGCCATGGCGGTTCCAAGGTCCATCTGAGGCTTAGCGTCCACCTCCACATTAACTTGTCCACCCACTTGACTCCTCATGGCTGCCATTTCCTGTAGAGAATAAAATCCATTTTACAAAAATATTTTTCTAGGATTAATCTAAATTCAAGATACAAAGGATGTTTTCGGTGCACACCTCTTCATGGTTCTTCTTGAGGAAGATCAGCTCCTCCTTGAGACCCTCAATCTGCATTTCAAGGTCCGATCTAGCCAAGGTCAGTTCATCGAGCATCCTCTTCAGGCCTGCGATGTCTGCCTCCACTGACTGGCGCATGGCGAGCTCGTTCTCATATCTTGGAAATTACAGAAACAATTAAATGTTTATCTATGATAGAAACAAAACAAAAACTCAGCAAAGGTTAATAATACTTACTTAGTTCTGAAGTCATCTGCAGCCAACTTTGCGTTATCAATGGACAAATAGATGCCTCCGTTAATACGAGTGGCATCCTGGATCTGTTAAGTATTGATGTTTTTGTAAGATCATAGAGAACATAAAAAATAATATTTATCTGATAATGAACATACCTTTCCCTGCAAGTCAGCGATGGTAGCGTAGAATGCAGAGTAGTCTCGTGCTGTAGGAGAGGCTTTACCCTCTAAGAACTGGCGGATCTTGAGCTCCAGATCAGCATTGGCAGCCTCTAGCTTGCGTACTTTCTCCAGGTAGCTGGCCAGGCGGTCGTTCAGGTTCTGCATGGTCTGTTTCTCATTGGCACCGATTGAAAGTTCGTCTCCAAAACCACCCCCACCCATGCCAAATGCAGCAGCACTGCCCATGCCAAATCCAGCACTACCTCCAGAGGTGAAGGTGCGAGAGCCTGAGGACATCCTCAGACTACTGCCCCCACCATGGACACTGTGGGAGTACTGGCGCCCGCCGGCCCTGGTACTACCTCCGCTGCCGCTGAAAGACTGTTTGGAGAAGGCGTAGGATGACATTGTTGAAGTTTGCTCAGAGATCTGCCTGTCTTAGAGAGTAGAGGCTGACTGATGCAGACTGGACCTTCTGTCGTCTTTATATCTTGCTCTTCTCCAAAGCACCCTCCCTCCTCTGTGGGCTGGAGCTTGTAGAACCACTTTTGAGGAGAGGCACCAACCAATATTGGGCTGTCCCACCCATCATTTCTCACTGCAATTAGAAACAAAGGTATAGAAAGCTCTTTTTGCACTTTACATTTTACTGTCATGTTTTAATGAATTGCAGCTCAACACTAAACCCTTACCTGCTTATTACTTTATTGAGCCATCATTCAATTCAAAACACACACACCTCTCACAGAGACACCTCTATACAGAGAAATGTCTATACAGCCACACCTGCTTTTGTAAGCCTTAGGTATGTTGTATTTTCCATATAGTTAGACTAAATCCTTGTTCTTCCCTATTTTCTTCTCTATTTTTATCAAAGTCATGCTCCATTCCAGTTCACAATTTCTAAACACACGGAGACACGGTTTCACTGAATAACTGCATTTACCCAGAATAAAGACCTTTATACAAAACTTCAATGTAATTACATCAAAATGATCCATTCATAAAACTGCTTGTGGTAGTTGATACATGGCACACTCACATTTACTGGAATGTTCTTGCGTTTTTCTTGGAACAACATTTCAACATTTGCATCAAGCCAAAGCAAGAACAAGCAGATGCTTGTCTTCTACTTTTATTACATGCCCTCAGGGGTTACACAACTGTCAAAATTCAGCATAATAGCACAGATTAACACTATTTAACTTAATGAGTATTGATGTTGATGGCAAAAACAAAATAATCTAATATATCTTTGTGTGTTTTTGTCTTGGTGGTTGTGAGCTCAGTCCTACACATTTGTTATATGTGACTGCATTCATTTGTTTCCGTGTGATAATTTTAGCGTGCAACCTTGCTCTAGATGCATAAAATAAAACAACATTTTCTTTAGGGCTGCAAGTAACAATTGAGGGTTTTTAGATATAACAATACAGATAAGGTGGCAATGCAACCATTATTTTGAATAGTGATGCAATGCAGCCCATTTATAATTTACCATTCTATAGACACATGTCGGCAGTTTTTGGTCAGCCAAATCCTCATCAACCCAGCCCTTGTTTATCATCAAAAACACAAAATTTATATTCACCTTATATGTCTATTCACGCTGATTATTTGAATAACATAAATTAGTTAATTCAACCACGAGAGACTACTTTTATATGATTTACAAAAATAATTTGTGGTTTCACAGGTCAAATGGGAGTTTTTTTGTATTACTGCTAAATCCTATGTCTTTTGTTTGACACTTTCACTCGATGGGAGTGGCACTGCATTGGAATGGAAAGTTTAGCATGAATTTACAACACTCACTCACACACAGGCTTTACATACTGATCACAGTGGTAAAGGTTTTTGTCAAAAACTCCATGAAATATACATTGGAATATTTAATGATCTCAGAATCTCAGATTTTTTTGTCATTTGTCTTTTTACAAAAATACAAAAAAATACATTTTAGATGAAACTTCAGTTAAGTAACTCCAAAAATATGTGTGACATTAAGGTGTGACCATGGTATCATCACACAGTAATATGCATCTGCACACAAATATGAGCGTACTAAATGTACTACATAAAAAGTACTACATGTAGTCTATGCAAACAGAAATAAATAATACAGATTGCAAACTGAAATAAATAATGAGCCAATAGAAGATGTCATAATAGCAGATTCCTCATAGATAGATGTGTGTGAAACAACTGTGAAATGGAACTAACACTACCATTTAAAAAATGTTAAAATAAAATAAAATAATAATAATAATGCACATTTCTAGGCTTTTAAAAATATTATTTTAGATATACTGTACTCAATAGTCTTATTTATTTTGCGTATCTTTAAAGTTATGCTTTTCAAACTACCTGATCTTTAAACTGTATTCTGCATTTGCTTTAGTTTGTTGACAAATTTATCACAGCATAATAAATATTTGAGATTGTAGGGTAGGGCAGTTGAATAGTTTATGGAACTGAACTAATGCAATAGTTTATGCTGTGTACAGGCTCTTCTTCAGTTCCTCATGTGGGTTTGAACCATGCTTATGACCACTAATGCTTTGCACAAGTCTCTGGTGCAACAGGCAGCATCTGAATTTGCTGAGCTTTTGCCAAAGCCCCCTCTATAAATCCCCCTGACACTTTTACAGTGTCACACGCACTATCTACTTTTCATTTGGAGCAGGATCCTTTCAGGTCCAAGTACGAAGTGCCTCAAGGCCCTAAAACAGGAAAAGTGTGTTCAGCAGCAGAGATGTTTTATGTGGGCGTAATTCTTTCTCAGTATCAGCTCAGGTTAAGACAATACCTCCTCTTCTTTCGTAAAGAGTGGGACCTGTCATAACTCAATGGCACACAGCATTTTTGGTAATGTGCCAACGTCCTTGTGTGCCTTAATTCAGGCCCAAACTGGTTTCAACATGTTGTTACAGCCTATAGGTTATGGCAACACCCTATAACACTATGCCACCTAAAATAACATAACATGTCATTCTCTTGATCTCTTGTTTTCTCATTTTCTCATTTTGTGTTTGTTTGCAAATAACATGTTTTCCTTACTGATATTCTGTTGCGGATAGTTAATAATAATAATGATTGTTACTGCAAATGCATTTAGCTTTAGAGCAACTCCTAAAAGAGGTGAGCCAATAGAAGATGGCATTCCCTCTTGACCTTTACAAACAGCTATTAAGTTTGTCACCAAGAAGAGAGTTTCATGTTAAAGGTGCACTAAGTAACTTTCTTGGTGGATGATACGCCATCTGTTTGTCTCTATGGAGATGTTATTGCTCTGGAATGTTCCGCAGTGTGGCATTAAACTCTGTGTAGAGATGACCCCGCTCACTGCTTGTTTTTCAATCAGTGGTTTAATCATTAATTATTATTATCTATTAATTATCTAATGAGTAGGTAGATAGTTGAATGCCTGTGGAACTGACTGTGGAACATTCCAGAATCAACCAGCTAGCAGACCCCCAGATAAGTTACATAGTGCACCTTTAAAATAATTTTGTGTACAAAGCAAATAAGTAATACAATAACTGTACACCAACCTTTGATAGACATGAATGAAACTCCAGCTTCAAGTCTGGTCATGCACAGTAGTTTAACACTGGAGCTACAGTGACCTTATTGTGAACTGCAGTGTTGCTCAAAAGTTGGCATTCCTTGGCTCAAAAAGTGGTTTGATAAATTAAAGTTACTACAAATGAAAATCACTTCCACCTGATATTTACTTTATTTTTTTCAAACTTTAAGTGAAAAATGCAAACTTCAAAATAAAACCTTCCTTTAAAGCAGGAGGTCTGCCACTGCTGTGGACTGTATGTAGGACCATTTTATCTCCTGTCTGATCTGACACCATTATGTGATAGTACTGTGTTATTCTGTACGTTTTAAATAGTTTTAGTCATCTCTTATATGATCTCTTAATCTCTTAATTCGCTACATTTTTGGAATATCCATTCTTTACTAAATGTGTTTCTAATTCTGTCGTGCCACAAAACTGTTTCAAGTTTCCCCCAAAGGTCACTCTAACACTGGATTATGTTTATGAACACTGGAGTTCAAAGCAACAACGACACCTGGAGGACATTCTGTACACTTCCAATGTGTGTTATGTAGAAATTAACTCATACTATACAGTAATGTTATTTGCAAATAACTAGAAAGTTTTAAGTAAAGGTTTGGACAAATAGTTTCAAGAAGTGAATTAAAAGATGATACTGATGGTGTGAGCCTTATCTCCTCAGGCAGGTCATTCCAAAACTGAGGCGCCCGGACTGAAAAGGCTCCATCACCCTTCATCCCAAGCCTGGATTTTGGAACAACCTGTCTGAGGATCTAAGGTTGCGGGAGGGCTTGTACGGGGTTAAAAGTTCTGAAATGTAATTTGGTGTGAAACCTAAATAAGCTTCAAAAGTAGAATCAGTAAAATTAGTTCTAAAATACACAGGCAGCCAGTGAAGGGAAGTAAAACTGGGATCATGTGTTAATGTCTGTTAAGCCCAGTGAGGAGCTGAGCTGCTGCGTTCTGAACTAGCTGGAGGTGGGAGACGCATTTGGTGTCGAGGCCAGAGAGGAGGGAGTTGCAATCATCTAGACAGGAGAAGATGAGTGCTTGGATGCCTTTTTCAAGATCTGGGAGGGTGAGGATATGTTTGATTTGGGAGCAAGAGGGATTAAATTGATTTCAGATTTGGAGCTGCTGAGGTGTAGGAAGTTCTGTGCCATGTGCCAACTGTTCACATCATTGAAGCAGTTTAACACAGCAGCCAAGCTCTCGGGGTCATTTGGTTTCAGCAGGCGGTAGATCTGTATGTGTCCTAAGGGGAGCATATAAATAGAAAATAAAATGGGACCTCAAATAGAACCTTGCGGCACACCACAGGTAATGGGGACAGAAGAGGAGGTAAAATTGCCTATGGTGACCGCAAAGGTTCTATCTTAAAGATAGGAATAAAACCAATCAAATGCACTGTCTTGGATGCCAACCCAGTTTTTGAGGATTTTCATTAAAATTGCATGGTCAACGGTGTCAAAAGCGGCACTTAAATATAAAAGAATTCAAACTGAGCACTCTCCTCTGTCAGCGGCTAAAAGAGAATGGTGTTAAAAGAGCAAAAAAGGACAGTGTTGTTTGTGCAGGGTCTACTCTAGGCTATGAGACGGTGTTTGGGGAAACTTCATCAAACAAACCCAAAACCAAATAACTATTAAAACCCCAACTATATACATAAAAACTGTAAAACCATACACCAATTACACTGTAAAACCCATAAAACAATAAAACATCTATCACACTACCCCTGTACAATATATTACACTTGGTCCAGCCCGGAACCTTAAAAGGGGGAGCTCATTTCTTGGAGGACTCTTTTACTACCTGGACAGACAGAAGAAAAAAGAGGTAAGTACAAAGCCAAACCACAGCATTCATTATTTAAAACACAATAAAACCCTAACACACACACATCAACACATCAACAGTAAAAACTTAACAAGAAGATATATTGCACCTTATATATTATACTACTCAATTTAAAAGATAAATAATGAAATGAAATAAAATAAAATTAAATCAAATCAAATAATAATGTCTTCTTTTCTTCTAGGGACCAGCAGCTGTCAATCAAAGTGCCTCCGTGCCTCAGGATTAAAAGCGGTAAAATGAAGGACAATAAATAAACTTTTAAAACCAATTATGTGCAATGTCTTTTGTAATTTGTGCAAATATGTTTAAAGTGCTGTGTGCTATCAAAAGTGCAGTGATTTAAAGTGTCTTAGTGAAGGGTGAAGGTGCTGAGTGTACTTGTGGGTAACAAACCGGCCTGTTTGTTACATATGCCTAACACAAATATTTTTGGGACTGTCACAGGCTATTGTGTAAACTAATACTAGTATAGCTTATAATACTAGACTGTATTCAGTAGGCCCGACAGGACAACATAACAAATAGCAGAGGTGTGGACTTGCAAGTCATGACTTGGACTTAAGTCAGATTTGACCACTATTTTGAGAACTTGAGACTTAACTTGATTAAAAAGACTTGAGACTCGACTTTGACTTAAAGACCAACTTAATTTGGACTTAGAAGCTTGTGGCTTGACACGACTTGATGTTTTTTCTCTTTACAGTTTGTAGTACTTTTAGCGTTTATGGGAACAAAGTGGAACATGTCCCTCCCGTTTTATGCTTTCTTGCAACAAGGATTTAATTTGGAGAAGAACCATTCACAAAGATCATAAATGAAAAAATTTAATGAAACTCAAAGCTTAGGACTTGGGGCTTGAGTTTTATGTGAGGCTTTCAACTTGCAAAACAAGTCACACATTACATTTTGGGAAGAACAAACAAACAAAAAAAAAACCTTCCAAACACCAGTTCAAAACGAAAGATAAGCAGTCTCATGGTTGTGATGACTTCTTATGCCTTGGAGGTTCAGATCAGGTGATGGTGGGCCTCATAGTCCCCTGAGCCTTGGTCGCCCGTTGATTGAGCTGAGGACATTAATGTGCACAGACACAGATGTCAATGTGTGTTCAGTTGAAAAGCCAACAAATCAAACCATATGTGATATTATTGATAGGCTACTGGCATATTCATTACTTCAACCTGACTGCCACATGAACTTCATCATTTTAAATGTGCACTATCACCCCTATTGGTGGTGGAGGGTCTGCTCTGCTTGTCTAAATGGTGATTCTTTGTCTCTAGTATAGACATAAAACCTTATCTCCAAGGAGACAAGTAAAGTGATATCAAGACAAGTTAGGCTACAAGTCAGATCTGTGTCCACATACTAAGAATGCAGTTTTGTTTAGTTTTTTTGTCTGTTGAGCAATTAATGAAGCAACTGATGATGGTCATGTGCACATTACCTGCTTGGTGTATTGGGTAAATGGTCTTTTTTTATGTGTATTGGATTTCAAGTGCAAACACATTGACTGGTTTTATAGTTGAGGAAAAAGGCTATTCCAAGTAAAAGCTTAGTGCATTTGTGGATGCAGTGGTCCATAGTTTCCTTTACGCACAGCCTCTATCCCAGATCAATCCAAAGCTTAGTAATCAACTGTCTTATCAGCGTTTTTGATTTTATAACACATTAACATCATCATATCTGCAGTATATAAGATGGACTGTGTCCCTAAAGCTCCAGTCTACGTGGATCAACTTGTAAAATCACTGCACAGCTCCACACAGGTAGAGTAAATTTGAGATTACTATTGTTTACTTGCCGCTTTCTGGTTTTGGACAGTTCATTGTGCAGGCACAATTTTCTTCTTATGCATCAGTAAATTGTAGCCTATATTTTATTACAGCATCTGGCATTATAGTGACACCAGAAAATACAGGGCCTAAATTGTGAGAAGTAGTTTGAAGGTGCCTCTCTTGCAATGTGATGTGAATCAATATCAGAAGTGGATCATTGTAATAAGATAAGATTTATTTGTTGCACAATGAGGAAATTCTAGTGTTGCAAAACAAAGCAGCAGGAGAATAGAAACATGCAATCAAAATCAAGATAAAAACTATTTACACACTTACTATACTATATATATATATTTTAATTTATAGGCCTATAATAAATAATAGACATACAATCTACCACAACACTGTGCGAGTACAGTAAATATATAACATACAAAACTATGCTGTACAAGGCAAGTGTCTACAATGAATATGATTATGTACAGTACAGCATGTATGACTAGAAAGCAGGTAATTTTCACAAACAACCTACTGTGTCTCATCATCCCCTATCCCAAACACTGTGCATTGGTTGAATTATGTGATGTATTCTCAGTCATGCACAGCAAAGGACTTGGAGTTTTTGCCCTACTGGCCTCACTTCTCGTGTCCAGTGCAGCTTTACCTGAAAAGCAGACAGTAGGGGACAATATCCTACAGAAGATCCTCTCGAGACGGGACAGTGTCAAAGACCCTGGCGTATCAGAGACTCGCGCTGAGAGGCGGGCACGTCTTTCCGAGGACGATCGCGAGATTATGGCCAAACAACTCATGCATGCCATCTCAGGTATGTGTCCGTCTGTGGGTGGGTGGTATACTGGCGACTTTTGTAACAAGGTTCAGTGGATATGATGGCATACTATTGTAAGGCCATCAAATGGTTAGATCTGCAGTCTAAATACTTTTGATTAGTGTTAAAAATTTTAAATATTTTCCAGAATTGATGAATTCGGACTGCATGTCTGACCGGGACTATCAAGGCTGGGTGGACTTTGGACGCCGGGATGCAGAAATGCCTTAACTTAAGAACTGGAGATGTGGCATGATTTTCATTCACATTTTGTAAAATGAAAGTTAATTTGTTCAGGCTGAAATAAACTAATGTTGTATTTTGAGCTGTTGGTTTTATTAGACTGTGGAGGTGTGGCTTACCTGATATTTTTGTTTTAAATAGCCAGTGTTAATGATTTAATAATATAAAAAAAAGTCCAAGAGTTTCTTTTTTTTTTTTTTTTTTTGTTATTTCTGAAAATGATACAATTATTTGCATGGCAAATCCTAATATAAAAATAATAGGCTACCTAGAATAAATAATGAGCAATTTTTCAATAAATATAATTATACAATTTTAGGTAGACAGTTTCTGTCTAAATAACTCTATAGTAAACTATTCATGGGTTTCAGAGTGATGGAAAAGCTACCACTGTTGCCATAGCAATTAACAATTACAAACAAAATACATCCTTTGAAGGGGCAAAACTCCTCAAAATGTTGCCTATAAACAAGAAGCTGAACCCATATTATCAAATTAGAGTTGTATTTTACTCCTACTTGAATAACAATGTACTTACTATTAACTTTATGCAAATTACAAATGCAAGCAGTTACACAGGCATGATTAGTTCCTCATTCACCGAGCATTATTAAGATATGTGTATGTGTCCATAAACTTGAGATGGAAACCAGATTTGAACGTTTTATTCACAGATGCATGTTTTACACACACATACCGCTGTGACACTGACCCAGATCAGTAGTGCAGAGTGGGCAGTGTTTATGATTATTTTTCCCTTTTCAACAACAATATCCTATGCCTTAATGCTACAGCTGATATTTCAAAGAACAATACAGAAACATGCTGTTTTGTACATATTTACAGCCTATTGCCTATTATTGGTATTTTCTCATTCAAAAATGAACAGTAAGCTTAAATGCCCATTATGATTTGTTCATATGTGCAGCATTATTTAAATTCTGAAACTGAATACAGCAGCAGAATTATTAGTTGCTTGTTAGTATTTTTTTAGTCTTACCAGCATTTTTACACCTGATGTGAATGGAGTGGGTTAGACACAGATATAACTCTACAGATTAGACAACTTACAAATATTAACATTCATTATTAACAAAATTTACTTCACTTATTGTCAATGCAGTGCTTCTTTAGTACAAAAACTTTATGTACATCATGCTTTTCCCATAGCAGCTCTAAAGCAAGAAAACCAAAATCTAAATTAGTGCCATTTAGTGTTAGCTTCAATTTTGTTAGCTCTTTATGTTGGCAATATTGATTCTCCTTAAAAATAAAATCGGTATTACAATGAAAGGCAATATACATTTAAATACCCAAAATAACAAACCAAAAATCTTTTGTTACATATTTTGTGTATAAAAGATGAAATGCTGTGACTGAGGTGATCAAAAATAAGATCCTGAGAAGAGGATGCCACACCATAAAAGAAAAAAAATCTACAGCATATGCCTCAAGCAAAAAGTGGCTTCAGTTTTCAAGACACATTCAATCACATAACATGATTAAAAGAAATCAAATGTGAGGAGGAGGTTTAGGATCCGTCATCCCCAAAGCTGCCACTCGGTGCAGTCCAAGGCTCTGTAGCTTTTCTACCAAATTCAAGCTAAAAGTGCCTCCTGGTTTCCTCACCGACTTCTCCCTTATGTTGGAGTCTTTAATTACATGTGTGTAGTTTTGGTGATGTGGCTGAGGCAATGCCGAGATGCCCCGTTCTTGTAGTAGCTGAACAAGTCCTACAGATGGAGATGTGGGCATGTTGGGAGCAGTGAAGTGGGCTGGGGTAGTCCAGGGTCCTAGGTCAAAGTGTGGCTGCTGGGAAGGGTAAGAAGTGCTCATGTGCTCACAGTTCCTATGAGGTGGCAGGCTGAAAGTGTGAAGGCTGGAAAAGAACATTAAAATTAGTAAAAATGAAAAGTGTACACATTTTAACGTGTGGTTAGTGGCATGCTGTAACTGAAACAGACTTGAGTTAGGGTAGGACAAAATTGTTAGACTCAAAGAAAAAACAACTATTATATTAGACAAGTTACAATAAATATACAATGTGAAGGAGATATTATATCAAAAAGCTGTGAATGAATGTCTGTGAAGTTAGTATGGTGACTTGCACTCTATAAATACAGAAAGAAACTATATTTAGTTCTATAACGTGCTGTGTGCATGACTTCGTGCCCTATTTACAAATGTTTGAGTACTCTATACATTTGAACAAACTTATCCAACTTGAATGTTGTAAAAATCAATATTGATTGGCCTAAATCATACACACTGCACACAGTGCTACAGGTATGCTAATAAAACAAACACAATAATATGGTGTTATTAAATGGTTATCTGCGACGCCTGACTCTTACTTTGACATCTTCACGTCTAAAGTTGGAGAAAGAGTCTGGACAAGCGTTTTTTGCTGCTGTAGGAGTGAATTTAAAAAGGTTAGAGTTCACTGAAACTGAAAGAAGGCAAAATTTTTGTAGGAAGGGGAAAGTATATAATTTGCTTTGCTTAATGGTGCACTGTAAGTGGTGGGGATTCACCATCTTGTTTCCATGGAGAAGCTATCGTTTTGCTTGAAAAGTTCAAAAATATGGCTTTAAACTTACCGCTCACAGTAAGAATGTATGTTTTTTCCAAGGTATATATTAGCAAAAATAGACACTTGACATACTGTGGAACATTCCCCTTCGCACCAGAAAATTTACAGAGTGAGCCTTTAACTATCACTCAAATCACCTTTAACCAGACACAGTCAAACAAATGCATGAATGTACACCTAATACATTATTCCTCTTACCTAGTGGAGAAGGATGGGATGAGGAGGGAGGGGTGCAGGGCTTGACAGGTGGTGATGGTTTGAGTGGGGGAAGTCTGAGGGAGGTTGGGACTGGACGATGAGACTGCGAGATGATGGAGAGACACATTTACTACATTTACTACAACAAGAGGACAACACCTTTGCACTAGTTCTCAAACTGTGTGTACAGCTGGTGGTACAAGGGATACCTTCAGGGAGTAGTTTTATGTTCAGTTTAGTTTTAATAGATATATATGCACTATAGTTGTGCTTGTCCTAGTTTAGGCCAGATTTACACCAGTTTAGTCATCATTTAGTCCTGGTTTGGATTAATTTGTTGAGCGTCCTTGACGTACTTGGAAAGCCAGATATTTTATCTGTTTGTACTAGGCATAAAACATTTGAGGACCACTGTCCTACATAAAATGGTTATATGGACAGTAATGAATGACAATGTGAGGAAGAGGGAAGTTATGTGAAAAACAGTTATAAAAGTAGAGTATTACCAAGTCCATGTGCAGTTGTGTAACGAGACAGGTCAGGCTCATCCTCCTCCAGGTCATTGAGGCTGTAGACATGTTGGACGTCGACTTCCAGCTCTCTGAAGTCTTTAGTCAGAACCCCGGGACGAGGATGCAGAATCCCCCCGAGGTTTGGTTTGGCCAGTTGCTGCCACTGATGCAGAGTCACTGAACCTACACAAAACAACAAACATAGTTATTTCAGATTGCACTAGAGGAGTTAAAAATATGTATACCTAGGGCAGTGCACAGTGTAGACCAGGGGTCTCCAACCTCTGGTGAGCTACTTTTACCAAACAAAAAAGCCAGAGAGCTACCCATTTTAGTGTTCCCACTAAATTTAGTACATATAAGAGCTCCGCAAGCCTTAGATGGGGTACGGTTAGATGCCTATAAACCATAAACCATTATCCATTTATTAGTATACAAAGTTAGGCAAAATTATACATTTACAATGGCAATAATACAGTTTTAGTTTTTCAGCACAGTACAATAATTCAACAATAATAATTCAGAAATCCGTTGGCGAGCTATAGTAGCTCCCGAGCTCCAGGTTGGAGATGAATTTTACAGTATAGAAGTAATCAGTCATGTTATGATTTTTGCCAAAATCTTGCTGGCTATACATTTAGTTTAATGGTGGCTTAATCACATAGTAAAAGTATATGTAAAGTTCTAATGGAGTAACACCATCAGATTTGGTAGGATAATATTTTAAATGAATAGTTTACCTTCCAGAGGCTTGACAATCTGCAGGCGATCGGGCAGGTAGGAGCGGGACCCCCCTGAAGAGCTGCAGGAGTGACGAGAGCTGCCATTGGAGTAGTTGGTGCTGGTGGAGGCGGCAGGACTGGAGGCGATACTGTCATTGGGAGTAAGAAACCCACTGGAGCCCTCGGCCTCTTCACTGTGGGCCAAGGCTCGCAGTTTACGCTCTCGCTCCACGTCGAAGAAGGGCCTCTCTGAGGAGTGGCTCTGCTGCCGGGCTGAGAGGGACCGCAGCGCAGCCTCCAGGTCCTGACCACCGGGGGTCCCCGGCTGACCCAGACGCTTGGGACCACTGGCACTGCAGAGAAGAATGAAAGATTTACATTGATATGTTTGTATACACAGCGATATGTTGGTTAAATCTTCTAACGTATTTTTATATTTATTTGTTCAGTACTTTGTAAAAGAAGGGATAATGGGTCACTTTTCACTACCACAATGGACTGATTCATAAAGCATAAGATGAACCCCAGGCACAAACTGTCATACTTCATATATTTAATAAATAAATAAAGCACACTTTGAATATATGGGTAAACCTAATCTGGACAAAACAAGCATTTGCTCACTAACTGTTGGTCAGATGAGGTTAGAGATGCAGCTTTGGACCCCCCTTGTGGATACAGAGCACACTGCATGTGAATAGTTCAGTTCCAGTAGAAACACTTTAACTTGTATTGTTCATGGTTGTATCATGATCCTGTCTACTTTTCCATAAGGCACAGTTAAATCATCATCATAATTATTATTATTGTATTATTTTGAATTGTATGATTAACACATTTTCGAACATTATTGATCTCTGAATGGGGAAATTCACTTATTAAGGTTTTTAAATTAGCCGAGCAATTATAGCAATTATACACAAGTATTATTATATATACTTAAAACTAATGTAAGAAATGAACAATACCAGAACACAGCGCAGAAACATCACCAGATTCACATCCTACACACCTGCTGTCTTCTTTATTATTAGAATGGTTATTGCTGGATTTCTCCTCAAGGGTAAGGCTGGCGTTGTCGGACCCATAGTAGCTGGTCCGCGGGGTGCTGGCACAGCTGGAGCGGGCAGAGGCAGGCGAGGAGCCAGGCAGCGCGGGCGAGTTACAGCGAGAACGAAGCTTCACCGCTTTGTTCACCACCTTCACTGTTTCAAAAACACGCCAAGGGTGGGTCCTGACAACAACAACATGCAACACAGATTAGTCTTATGTGAAATAAATAGTTAAAAGACAACAAATAATTAGACATGTTGAGCTATAGCAAGTATTACATTAATGTATAGTGAACAAAATTACATTATTACCACAATATGGGTTGGGTACACTGTAAAGAATGATTCCACACTTTTGGTACTGCTTAAAGCCCAGATTGTATCTGCATAAGTACTGGTAATGTGATGACTAGTCAGGAGTTTTTTGGTTTACATATAGATTTTTTCTTTTAAAATTTTTTCAATATTTTTTACTCTCTCTACAAATTCAAAATGTAGTCACTAAGGTCAAATCCACTTAGTTGATCTGTGCCAACCATCACGTTACCATTTTAGCAGTGTGTTTTCATGTAGTTGCAGGTTTTGAATGGTAATTTGCTGTGTTTTGTGGCTCACTTGTACTCTGATGGCGCTGGCGTGTCCAGGCTTTTCCTAAATGTACCCTCTATCTCAGCTGCCAAAGAGTCCATGGGGAGCACAGAGGCCAGGGCCGTGTAGCGCTGCACCGTGCTGTTAGGCAGGCTTTTGTTTCTGAGGTTTTTAATGTCCTCTCTGGCTTCCTGTAGCATGTCCTCACATTCAGAGTACTTGTCCTGCAGGTCCTTAAGCTGCAGATGACAGAAAAACAGCACAGTTAATCATACGTTAAACAAATAATGGCTTAAAGAAGTAACCCCTGTATTAAAAAGAAAGTTATTATTAAAAAGGACTTGCCTCTGATTTGAGTTGAAGCTGGCACTCCCGAGCAGCATTAAGGTTCTGGTTTAGCTCCTCGTTCTCACGGGTAAGCTACAGAAAAAAAGAAAAAGATACAATCATTTTCTCTTTGCAAGCTCAAAAAATTTTGAAATGTTATTACTGTACATGTAGTGACAGGAAAAACAACTAATCCTCTGTGCCTGGTTGATGGGTTTAGAGTGTTAGTTTTTATTTTTCTAATAGTGGAACCTATATTAATTTGATTTTATTTGAATAAATATAACAATATCTGGTTTATTCTGTATGTATGAAAATCTTTACACACTTTTATCTAGGTTTCCAGTAATTTATTGGCATTATATAAATTTTTCCCATGACCCACTTCTGAATCCAGACCCACTAAACTGGAAAGGGTCACTTGTTAGAGCAACTTTTCATATACAGTGCATAAGTCTAAGTCTGAGTCTAAGTAAAGATAAAATAAAATAAAATATTGGTCTCTCACCCCTTTACATCGAGCCTGCAGATCCACTATTCGAGCAAGCAGAGAGCTGATCTCTTCCTGCTGTCGAACCGAATCCTCCACTCTTCGAGCCAGCTCCTCTGACAAGTCCACCACCTGCTTATTCACAGATGCTGTAACAAAACACATTATTAACACAGTATTCACATACAGACATACAGGGTTGAGTAATTTAACAATATGAAATGACTGGAATCAGTCATATGCTTCGCATAGATTTTGTTCATATTATGTTGACACAAAATATGTTTGTATTATTTTTTTCCTCATAAAATTCATGGAGTATAAAAATAACTTAATACCTCTGTTAAACAGTATACCGGTAGTTACCTTTTTATGTTTAGGGACAATACAATGAGCAACAAAGTGTGATTTTCTTTAGTGTGATTTGCAGTCCAGGTTGGGTTTAGATGATGGGGGAGAAATTTAGACTGTGGGGCCACTATAATCTCTTCTATGAAAGGGAAACACTGAATGAATGATACTTACATAACTCTTCAACACAGACCATCATCAGCTCGTGTTCCTGCTCTTCGTAATTACTGGTCTCAGTTGTGAGCTCACTGGCCTGTCAAAAAACACAATGCAATTTTACATTATCTACATTATCTAATTGACATTCCTCTATTGAACTAATATTATTGTGGCCTACCTCTCTTCGTAGTTTGCAGTTCTCCTCTTCTAACCCCTTCAGTTTCTTTTGAAGGAAGTCATAGTGGACAAAGTTGCTCAGAGAACTGCATGATTCATTCCTTTTTAGCCTGTATAAACAAAGACACATTACTGGTAACTGTGAGAGGATTACAATGCTTTAAATTGATTAATTATATTTTAAAAAAAAAGGAAATTCCAGTCTGTGTGGTTTGTTATTAGAAAAAGTCTTACGATGAATGTGCTTCAGAGTTTTCTAGCTCCTCAGTGCTGGCATAAAACTGTAGGAGGTCATCTCTCATTGAAAGTTCATGTCTGAGTTGAGCGATCTGGAAGAGAGAAATATTGTTTATATTCAGTAAGCTTTACTGTAGGGTTGGAAAATATTGCTATATGTGATGTGGAATACTGCATATCATTATTATAGTGATATTTTAATATTTTAAACTCAATAATTTCAGTTAAAATAAAACAAAAAATATATTCCTTAATTTACTGGTGAGACAAAACTGATAGATGATAGAGTTAATTTCTTGACCAATAATATTTAATGGAGATGGGAACAGGTAAAATTACTACTGTTATTATGAAAACTACTTTTACTTTATTGTGAGGTGAAAGGGGCAGGCACTAATAGAATTGATCAGATTCAATATTTTATTCATTTTAGATGTTATAAAAATGCTATGTAACCAATAGGAAAAACTGTCTCTTGCCCCCCATCTAAAAGTATCTGAAAACTACTACATGTGATATCAAATTGTTTTCATTATATTGTGCAGCCCATCTTTGTTGTAATGTATTTAGTGTGTGTTTTATTTGTAAGTACCTCCTCTTTTGTTGCTTCAAGTTGTTCATCAAGCATCTCATTTCGTGCTGTTAGCTCTTGGTTCTGTTTTAAAAGCGACTGACCAATTCTTGCAGCTAACTCCAGGTCTCGCTCTTTCTGAAATTTTAAAACAAAACAAAATTTTATTTTACAAATGAGGGCAATGTGTGACACAGGCTCATTATAGTAATCTCTTTAATCTAGCACACCTCCTCCAGCAGGTGTGTGACTGCCTTAATGTCGTGATATGTCTTGGTGACCTGGCCCACTCGTTCAGAGCAAAGCACTACGGGAGCAGAGATATGGAAAAAGTCAGTGTACAAATAATTATTCTTAATAATTAGTAACTTAATAACTCATACAGTACATTTTTACAATCAAACACAAAAGACATTTTCAACATTTCAAAGTCTGTATTGTGTGACAAGAGTGGTTCCCTCATTTGTGTATGATAAAATTCGCTATAAACTCAAAACATATTTTTTCTTACGATTTGCCCAATGTTTGTGATAATTCCTTGTGTGTTTATTTGATATATTTGATAGTTTGATCAGAATAACAGTTTGGACACACCATGTCTCTGTCCAAATGTTTCACTGGTAGTGTACATTTTAACTGTCTTGGTAGCTGCATTGTTACTTTTACTCTTCATTCAGTACATACTATAGCTTGTAGTGGCCATATGTTTGAATGGATGCCCTCTCTGACTGCCCTGTGCTTCACCTTTACAGTACCACAGACCACAACATCCCCATGTGGCCAGTCAGATACTGATCCTCTTAGGCTCTTGATCCTGTTCAGCTCAGATAAGACTCCATTAAAGACCTCGTTCTCCTGGAAACCAAATTAGCATGGCCACACAGTGTCCAGACCAACAGAGACTAGACACCACTGACGACAACTCTGTTTACATCCAGACTTCAGCTGATTTAAAAATCTCTGATTAAGGCTAAACCTGGTGTCACCAATTATTACTTCATCAGTATTCTACACATAAGTTCCATTGTACTAGATTTTTTTTTTGTATCTAAAAATCTTCTATATTATTTATCTATAGAATATTAGCTACTACAGTAAACTAGTAATGAATTGTATTTTTTCTCTGTTTTGTTGCTAGTTTTAAGATCTAGATTCAAATATACGAAAAAAGAAAGAAAAAAGGTAAAAGGTACAATACAAAAGGTAAAAGGAAAGATGAAAAGTGATCAAATCAATATGTCAACAAGCCTGAAACAAGCTGTATTGTCTTTGCAGTGGCTGATCTCATTTAGAGAGAGGGGAATTGTAAACTAATTAGACTTAAGAGTTTCAATTTGGTCAGGAACACTGTGACGGAGCAGATCATTGTCCTATTAGCCTAACGGAAACAGCTGAACTACTGCACTCGTAACTGAATAATTGAATACATGTAAGACAAATAAATTTAATGCCATGATGTGGAACATTACAGGCAAAGCAATGAGACCTCCATGAGATAACAGTTACAGTGCCCCTTGTAGCAAGCATGTAGCAAAAAATTAATTAACTCGTATCAGTCTGGCCTGCCGCAAGTCAATGATTTATATCTTGTTGAGCTGAGCGCCCCCAACAGATTAGGAAAAGTGAGGCCACAATGCCAGCATTAGGTTTAGGCTGGGGCTACGTTAAATTCAGCCTAGTCCTATAATACTCTTCCTATGGCTGAAGCCTGTGGACTAAGATATGCTTATGACATCTGTTATGGTCCAACATCCAAGCACAGACAGATTCTCTTGATCTCCTTCTTACGTTATTGATACAAACTTGACAAGAATAACAACAGGTCAGATGTACAGAATAATGACACTAAGACACTACAAAAGTGAATACAGTGGTGATGTTTGTCAGCTAAATAAATAAATATGATTATGAACAGCTGAACTAATGACAGCATGGATTTTTTTTTCAATGTCAGTCATTGACTGTCATTTCTTGCTGGTAAGTGCTATTGTCACAACACAAAAAATGTTTTATGGTTTTATACCATTTTGATACAGTAATTATTTAATTTAAACAAAGAAGAAGCAATTCAAATGATATTAGTTCACTTTCCCTTGTAAAATAAAAATAAAAATTATAATATGGGGTAGTAATATACAATTCTGACTTTTTTATCCTTTGTAAACAAAAGTATTTTGCACTTCTGGCAGGCTGTTTGCGTGTAGCCATTCTTGCACAGTCTGCATCGTCCACATTTATCAGCATGGATGGGAAAAAAGGCTCCTATAATATGTAAAAAAAAGCTCATATAATATGGATGTGGAGTAAGTAGGTACTTGGAATTTAGCTGTTGCAAATCTGCAACGCCTGCCTGGAGAGGGTTAAAGGACAGCTAAACTACAGGACATTAAAGAGCATCAGAAGCAATTCTGAAATTGGGCTAGTAGCACAGTTAAAAACTGACACCTCATATTTCCAGCAACCATTAAGGTTTGGCAAATACAATGGATTTTTTTATTACATTACAAGTACTGTAACTATGAGGTACCAATAAAATGTGTTCTCAGTACTTGCAAATAGACAATGTTTTTAAGTCTCATTGGCAGTGTCCTTGACTACTGAAGATCACACAATATTTACTAAATACAAGTGCAGCACTTGTCATGAGACCTGCAAAAGCATACTGCAATTTCACAGTATTTTGAATTATACATCCCCTTTGACACTGCTGCAAAACCATGGCATTCAGTGTACAACTAGACATCAATGTTAGTGTTCTTTCTTACCATTTAAACTTACACACACATTCAAAAGCAACATTTAACATACTCAAAGATCTAAACCCGTAGATCATTGCCAATATTTCTTCAAAGCCAAGCACTGATAACCTTCACTTTATCTCCCTCGTCCCACATTCCCATATCTTACCTTGTGTCACCTCTCTACAAAGAAGCTTGTTGTTATTGTTGTTATTATTGTTATTCATATTCAGGCATTTTATTTCTTCAGTCACTAAAACATTCCCAGACAAGCATGTTGAAGGAGCTGCGGCTTTCTCCTCATCGTCCTCCGAGGAGCTCCAGACTTCCATGGTTATATAGATCACAAAAAATCAAATGTGTCTGTAACCTTCAATAAAGCTGTTCTTTGCATGAGTATCTATGTGAGGGCACAATACAGTCTACCTATCCACACTACGTGAGAGTATGTCTGCACTTCTGTCGTGTTGTGTGTGCGGTAATATGTAATCCCTCTCTCTCTCCCTCTCTCACTAGAAGAGCCATCTGTCATCATCTCTGCCTCCGTTCACCTGGCCACGTTGGACTACCGGGTAGAAGGATGAGTGAGGAAGAGAAGGAGGGATTGCAGATGAAGCACAACCTAATTCAGCCAATATGATCCTTGTTATAGCATCAGAATTCAAGAAACAGCACAATCATTGAAATGGCTCCAAGTAAAATCCTCGCAGGATCATGACTGGCTATAAGAAGTAATTAGGCATAAAAGATATAGGACCACCCACCCCTATGCAACAAAAGCACATGGTAGGTCCCCTCTCCATCAGCATGCAGACGTAAGAGCGGGTCGATGCAGAGAGGAGCTGCGTAACACTGCTGCAGACACAGACACACCCACCTCACAGGGTTAGAGGCAGAGAGGGACCAAAAGACACAATAGAGCAGGATTACAGCAAAGAAGGCACACAAATTTAACTGCAAATTATAGTCTTTGTTATATAATATAGAGTATGGCATACCTGGCATATAATTGTTTATACTGGGGCACTAGTCTCAGCTAACACTCCATCAGCATCTTCACTCAAACATCTCACATTACCCTGACAAGACACTTTCTTACAATCAAATATTAACCCCATCATTTATTTTTCATTTCTATCTGACTCCTCCAGGTTAGGCTCTAGACAAATAACCCAACTTTCACCACATTGTCCTGTCTTCTTGAATTTTGGATAGTGTTTGAAGTGTTGCCCTTTAAAACAATATAATGATGAATTCTAAATTATATATACATATTATGCTAAAAAAAAAAAAAAAAAAAAAGAATAGAAAACTGGCAGGAATAAAAGAACTGTTGTTGTTGTGTGTTGCCACAGCAGGCAGAGAGCAGAGGTCATTCAGTCAATAAGAGCTTTGCCTACTGCCTTCTACAAATATGTGTAACTTCTAATGAAACTTCTATTTCTGGAGCTAATCCAGCCTCCATGTAATATCCTTCGTGGATCAATCAAGTTTTTCTGAGTCTAAGGCAGATTTGTTGAAAAATTTGAATGACCAAACACCACTTAAAATAAATTTAAAAAACGCATAAAACTCAAAACACAGGAACTAAAAAGCACATGGCACATGCATGGCAATCTGGCTTCACCCACAGGCCTAGACAGCCTCGGTGTCTAACAGTAAACTCAGAGTGAAGCAGCTGCCAGTCTACAGAGAGTGGTGGATCTGATGTCAGTGAGGCCAGTGCTGAATGCCACGATCCTCACAGCTTTGTCGGAAACTGCTTAGGACTCCAAGGGACGGCAGGTTAATCGGCTTGGTGCCCTCTGACCCCTGAGTTTCCCGAATGTGTCCAAGTGTGTGTGTGGAACAGAAAAAAGTGGGATTAGGGGTCACACTGCAGCCATTTAGGAGGTCAATGTGTGTACATGTGTATGTATGCACACAAAATCTGCAGCTTTGCGGATTTGAAGTACCTGAAGGTCAACTTAGCTTTAGTAAAATTCTGTAAAATTTCAAACTCAGCTATGTTATCTTGACAAATCTTGAAATGAAGTATCAAGTATCAAGCCTTTACCTTATAATCATCATATATATATATATATATATATATATATATATATATATATATATATATATATATATATATATATATATATATATATATATATATATATATATATATATTTTTTTTTTTTTTTTTTTTTTTTTCAGAAAAGGCTGAATTTTATCTTATATATGTAATTTTTTTCAGTAAAGATACTTGTTCAAATGTGTATATACTGTATATTTTCTTAATACTATACAGAAATCAGAGGGCCACTACACACCAGGCAAATAGATACTCACAAAAATACTTGAAGGTCTCTTCAATCTGCTCACATGTGAGTCCCAGAACAACCTCTGGGGGCACCAAAGGGGTGTGCAGCCAGTCATCATTGTCATATCCAAACACACTGTCTGCTCGGAGAGTGTAGTTGGGCTGGCCTTCTGACAAAAGACTCACTATCTCCAACTCTGGAAAGTCTGAACAAAAATCTGTAGAGAATTGAGAAGATTTAATTTACATGAAGAACATTAACAGGATGGTTGTTGTGAAACTTACAATGTAACAATGCCCTCTAGTGACAGGTGTGGACACATGGATCTAATGCTTTGTCAATAGCATACATTGTATTGTGCAGTCTGTGTTTTCTCAAAACTACGAACTCAGAGTCAGGCAACTTAATCTTCTAATAATTCACAAGAAATACTAGTATACCCTTCAAATTTGATTACTAAAATAATGTGCATTCATGAATTAACAGGAATATTATATATATATATATATATATATATATATATATATATATATATATATATACAGTCCCTGACAAAAGTCTTGTCGCTTATCCATTTTGTAGAAACAAAAGCTTATAACCTGACTTTAAATTAATCGATTGGTTTTAGAAATGTCTCATATGAAAGCTAAAACCCTCCCAAATTATGCTCAACATACTAAAATAAATTTGCTTCACTGAAGAAAGATTGATCATTTAATGAACACAGAAAGGTCAGACTTTGGCAAGACAAAAGTCTTGTCGTCTTGTCATATGATGCATCTTAGATTACAGCCTCACCTGTGATCAGTTACTGATCAATCAGTTAGTGGGTGTGTATAATAAGAACCCCAGCACACCAGACCTTCACATCAACAACAACTTGACCTCTGACAACATGCCTAAGATCCACCCTGAGACCAAAGCGTTAATTATCAAGAGGCTGAAGACCAGATCCACTGCTGAGGTGGTTGACACCTTCAATGTGTCTCAGCGTCAAGTACAAAGAATAAGAAAAAGATCTGAAATGACTGGAGATGTTTTTGACAAGCCCAGGTCCGGCAGACCCCGCAAGACAACTGCTCGGGAGGACCGTTTGTTGATTCGAAAATCCAAGGCCAGCCCCTTTTCCACTGCAGCAGAGCTCCACCAGGCCTGGTCACCTCAAGTCCCTGTGTCAACCAGAACAGTTTGTAGAATTCTGTCTCGAAATGGCCTCCATGGTCGAATCAGTGCACAGAAACCAGCACTAAACAAAAGACAATTAAAAAAACCGTGTGGCATTTGCCAAGGCCCACAGCCTGCTAACAGGATGGACACTGGAAAAGTGGCAGAAGGTGGATTTCTCAGATGAATCCTCGGTTGAATTACATCACAGCCGCCGCAAATATTGCAGGAGACCTACTGGAGCCCACATGGATCCAAGATTCACCCAGAAAACTGTTAAGTTTGATGGCGAAAAAATCATGGTCTGGGTTTACATCCAGTATGGTAGTAAGTGAGACATTTGCAGGGTGGAAGGCAATATCAATAGCCTAAAATATCAAGAAGTATTAGCTACCTCTTACATTCCCAACCATAAAAGGGGTCAAATTTTGTAGCAGGATGGTGGTCCATCGCATACTTCTATCTCTACATCAAAGTTTCTCAAGGTGAAGAAGATCAAGGTGCTCCAGGACTGGCCAGCCCAGTCACCAGACATGAACATCATTGAGCATGTCTGGGGTAGAATGAAAGGGGAAGCATGGAAGGCAAAACCAAAGAATCTTGATGAACTCTGGGAGGCATGTAAGACTGCTTTCTTTGCTATTCCTGATGACTTCATCAACGAATTGTATGAATCATTGTCGAACCGCATGGATGCAGTCCTTCAAGCTCATGGAAGTCATACAAGATATTAAATATGGATCTCACAGCACCACTACTTAATTCACTGACGTTATGCAACATATTTTTGTATTTGAAGTAAATTATTTGTTCAGTTTTCTGTAGGCGACAAAACTTTTGTCTTGCCAAAATCTGACCTTTCTGTGTTCATTAAATGATCAATCTTTCTTCAGTGAAGCAAATTTATTTTAGTATATTGAGCATAATTTGGGAGGGTTTTAGCTTTCATATGAGGCATTTCTAAAACCAATCAATTAATTTAAAGTCAGGTTATAAGCTTTTGTTTCTACAAAATGGATAAGCGACAAGACTTTTGTCAGGGACTGTATATATATATATATATATATATATATATGTGTGTGTGTGTGTGTGTATATATAATATATAATATATATATATATATATATAATATGTGTGTGTGTGTATATATATATGTATATATATATATATACACACATATACACATATATATATGTTGTATATACCTTATTATATGGGCTTAATCACTGTATTATTCTGTGTATGTGTGTTTACCTGTGAGAGTAGACACGTCCTGTAACAGAGGCGGCTCTACGTCCCGCAGGTTTCCAGATGCATTGAGCAGAAGAGGCAGGGGGCCCATAGACAGGGCCCCCGCCGCCTCCTCCCGCCCCTCATGGAGGCAGAAGGCTGAGTGGGGGTCCAGGGGGGGCTGCTGCGGCCAGGGGAGGGGAGAAACGGAATTGGCACAACCTGGCACAGAGGAGGTACACTGGAACAGTCTGACTGGGACAGGAGAGGTCAGTGTGAAATCCAGAGGTAAAACACAGCCCCTGGGCTCACACAGAGGGGGTAACACACCAGGGCATCTGTAGCTCCTGCGAGGACAAAAGAGACAAACATGAGCTAAGGCTACACAATACATTACAATCAAATTGAAATCGCAATGTATGTGGGCAATTATTTTGACAACTGAATATCCTCTACTAAGAACAAAATACCTTGTCTTTTTTAGAAAATCTTGTTGTACCTGTAGTTTAGACCTCTACAGGCATTTAACAGTACTGCTTTTCAGTCTTCTCTCAAATGTTAATTCAGTGGCAAATCTCACAATGACAAACTCAAAATTATTATTTTTTAATTTATTTACTTATTTTATTTTTTTACAATATTGTGCAGCTCTGACATGAGCAGGCTGATGCATGAGATCGCACATTATCTGTGCTGTGATAAGAAGTTGTTGTCTTATCTTCTAGTTTATATTATAAGTGAAAAGGTGGCACCACAGTTACAATGAAATACTTCCTTTTAGATTCATAGGTATACCAGACCCCATGTATAACCATATTCAAGGACTCTCTGCTGTGTTCTCTAGTAATCTAAAAATCACCAAATAAACATTTTTGTCAGTAATGATTAAAATAAATTAAACTATTGGTGTAAATTGTATTATATGATTATAATATAATCCAGACATTACAGACACCTAAAACTAATAATGCAAAGATGTGATCCAATTTCTTCTTTTGTGTGTTTGAGGAACCATAGATAGTAAACAAAACTCTGTATGTTTTCAGGTCACACAGCTTAAGTTACTGAGGCCTGTAGCACAGCTCAGATCAGGTAATGCAAGCAACATTAGAGGCATCGTGCCACATGCACTGGAATTCAAATGAACTATACAGCAAGAGCAAAAATTAGTACACAAATTAGTACTGGGCCTGGATGTTTTACCATGTTTTCTTTATTCCTCAATTCAGCTTTAGGCCAAATTCAGTGTTGTAATTTAAGACAGTGGAAAGGGTTACACTGGGGTCATGAGTTACATCTCCGTAATAGGACACTTGATTCACGAGAGCAGTTATTGCAGTCAGTAAAACCTGGCAGACAGAGTAGGGCAAAGGCTTGGCTCTCACCAAAGTGACGACTACAGCAAACACGTGCACAGACATAGAGGGACTGACACAGCTGTGCGCACTTCCCACTGCACACAGCATATTAAATTAACCCTTTCAGTGCCACTATCACCACACACTATATCTAGAGCTGTCCACACCCACCAGTGCTGGGTTTGGGCCAATGTGTGGCATACACTACATTAAATCAGCTGAGTGGTCTCATGCTGCCAGTTTAACTCAGCACTTATTCCAAGACTGCCTCATCATCTAATCATCAATCATCATTATTATTATATTGAATTTCAGGCAAAAAAGAGTAAATAAACAGTGATAACCTGGTTTGCAAATATTAAATATGTAGACAGCAGAAAGAACGTAGCCTAAATAACTTTTTAAATAACAGTTTAATTGTTCCATTAAATGTAACCATGGTTAGGGTATGGTCATTTTGAAATTACATTCAGTGAATTGCTTTGAATTCCCAGCTTTATCTTTCCCTGATAAGTTTCTTAAAATATCTCTTTCAACATTTTGATTAGCTGTAAAAGTTACAAATGTTATACTGAGAATAATATACTGTAGGCTTATGAGAGCTAAGCTAATCATTGCCTTTTCTTTAGCTTTCATAGTGTCCCAACATTTTATAATTAGGACTGTATTTTGGTCTTTGCTCTTGCTTTCCATTAAGCCCAAATGTCAGCTCCTGTTTATCGCTCAAGAGACCGCACTGTGGGGTGGTTAACCATGCAGCCAAGCGAGACCCAGTCAGCCATTTAGGGGTTACACCAGGGACATGCTTATTAGCCCTCTCCTTTGCCTTTGTATCATTGTCCTTTAACTGTGCCAGGCAGGGAGCCAAAGGAAAAAATGTCCGCTGAGTAATAGGATAGGGCGCTTTTCATACACACAAAGATTAGTCCTGGATTTGAGATCATTATAAGCAACAAATGCAGATTTAAAATGTTATAAATGCCATAAACTTTTAAACACGTGTTTTGTAAATGTACAGACACCTCATCTACAAAACAATGAAAGACGAGACTATGAAAAAAAATCTGTCTTTGACCTTGGAATCTGAACTAGGCCTCATTGCTGTCCGTAGAAGTAAGCGCTGGTTGGTACAATGGCCGTCAGGATCAGTGTACGTGAGCGCAGGCACACAGGAGTGAAAGGGAAATGAAGGAGGGGGCAAATGGGACAAACTTCTGTAGTGGCTTAGGAAATTTGTAACTAAAATAAAACACAATTCTATTCCATTTATTCTATCCACAATTCTGTTCTATCTTGTTTTTTCATGTTTCAATGTGGATTGCTTGAGTACTTTATCCAGGTCAGATATATTTGTCTATCCATTTGCATATGTTTTACAGTAGATGCGTTTCTAGCCTGCATATACCATTACCAGCAGTACAAAACATTAAATATGTCACAATTAGGTGCAAAATATAGATGTAAAGATTAACACAATAATTGATAATTACAATATAATTGTAACAACAACAAAATATAACAATTGTGAGAGTTTCTAAAGGGAAAATAAGTTCTAGTAATAGTAATCTACACCCCAAAGAAGTAAACCTGAATGTAAAGTGCTTTTTTATCTGGCTGTTTATGTCACATAAACTTTAACAATGTTGTTAATGTTTATTTCATAAAGCTGGTCGCACACTAGAGACATAATTAATTAAAAATAAAATATATAATTTCACAGTTGTTTCAGTTTCATGTCAATTATCATGAGCAATAATTAAGTTATGAGGTTTCTTACACTGTAACGGAACAATTTTACATTGTGACATCCCTAATGTAAAGAATGTATAGTTCTATGTTTGTTTTGATTAGCCATGTTAAATTCATTTGCATTCGACTGATCTGCCATTAAAGGTGAAATTTAATTAGTTTGAACCTAATCAGTTCCAGGGTGAAGTGTCCTGGCAAAGGTCACGTGCTGCTGTGGAGATAAGGGAGAGACGTGCTTCACTTCACAAATCAGACGGTTCTCATGACGTCTCACTACAGCCACTGTCCACTGCATCAGAGGACATTTATGGATCTTGAAAATGATGTCATCTCACTGGGGCCCATCTTACAGAGACCAGTCATATGCTCATATTACAATCACTGTGACATTTACACAACCAACGAAACACCATCTGCTCCCACTTTAAATCAACAATGGTATCAAGAAAGATAAACAGAAAGGCAAATATAATATTAAAAACATAAAACATAAATGTATTTTTCTTTACTGATGTGGGGTCCAACATTTTTTTATACTAGAAATGTCGTGTGGCATTAAACTTGTATTTATTTAATTTCAAGTGTTTTTATTGTCCAAAAACATCTTATGCATTGCATCTTCATCAAATGTCTGATCTGTAACCTGGTGCTGTCATCTGGTTGTCTCCATGGAGACAGACATGTTTAATGTAATACTGTGGAACATTCTATGCAAAGTCATAGCCTGTCCATAGAGACTAACAGGTGGTGGACTCTCCATCACAAAATGTTACACAGTGCAACATGTTTAATGCATCGGAGTAGTGCACTGTGGTAGTTATGGCATCTGTTGTTCCACAAGGAGGCACAAACAACCACTAAAACCTGTCCTTTAGGATCGATGTTAATCCAGCCACTGTCCGTATGATGCCATAAATAAAGTGTATTACAGTAAGGAAGCAAGCAGGAGCCATCTATCTGAGCAGTCATTAAGAAGAATAACAATTAAACATTAACTTATATTGATATGAAGAGGTCTTTTAAAAAGGTGTAACATGCTTGAATGTGTTAGCTGCCCTTGTCAGTTATTAGCACAATCATAGTAATTATAAATACAAGATTATGTTTTACCTTTACACATACATGGCTATAGTATTTGAAGTAGTTAATTGCCAAATATGTGTGCTTTCAATATCATGGTCCAAAGTAAATACAATGGTGCATGCCACATAGAAAGATAAAAGATAATTAACAGGAAATGAGCAGGCAATTGTGTAAAAGGTTACATTGCAAACTCAGACTACCTTTTATGGTGTAGTTTAAAAAAATATATCAATTCCACAATAAATACAAAGATTAATCAACTGTAATTATCCAGGTGTATGATTCTGTGGACAAGCATGTTATTATTTATCTCTGAAATAGAAACAGAGAAAATATGTGTTGTATGGAGTGGGTCAAAATAGCAAGAATGCAATCTTGACAACTGGACAGCTAAATCTGGAAAGGACCTCCAAGTGAAAAGAAAGTGTCACCAAAACTACAGCACTCATTCCTCTCTCTGTGGTTCAGCAGGCAAGAACAAAACATCCCAAATGTCCAACTATAACTAACTCCTAACTACTTTTGTGCCACAGGGTTATATGTGCTGCTGGAAGATGCAGTACAGAGGCCTGGAGAAATGTTCCTGACAACCTGAAGACAAAGACAGACATTTTTCAATATTGTGCTAAGTTACAAAGCTAAGACCCTGTAATGAAAGCAAATAAGATTACTTAACAGACAGCGATACCAAAACAAAACACAAAGTAAACAAAAAAGCGGCAATACATTAATTCATACTATGGAGAGAATACACTTTAAATCAAGAAGACAATTTTATCTTTGCATACTACATCTCTTATGGAATCAAAAGGACACCATCAGCAGAGGTAGAAGCTTTCCAAAAGCTGCACTGTGGTAAGACTATAGTTATTAATGACACTTTTAATAAAATACAAGTAAATTTTATCAAAATACTGGGTTCACAACTACTAACTTATTAACTATTTGAATGTTTTGAATATAGCTTGTAGGCCATATATGAATGGGAATCACAGGGTCCCCCACAGTTCGATAACTTACAACAATACAATAATATATATAACATACACATATAACATATATATAATAATATTTTTTTCTGAAACATTGCACAATATCCTGCAATGTATTTTTTAGGACCAGTATTTCTTAGTTAAATCACTACCAGCACAAACTAATTATGAAATACACCCATTTTAATCATCAAAAGAGTGAATACATCAAGCATATTGCATAAACAAGTTCCCTTTCTCTAAACAAGCAACAGGATGAGTAACTCAAGCAGATGTGGCGCAATAATCGAAAATATCCAGGGGTAAGTAGTAAGTGCAATTTATTCACAACTCAAAGCTCAAGCATAATAATTATTTTTTGCCTATTACTGAAGGTTAACAGCCTTCATATTTATCACACCAATTGTAAACAGACCAAAGACCATAGAATATAAAAGCAAAGCACTGAGTAACAGCATGCTACAATGCTAATAACACTGACAAACCCTCTCATTCATATTCCTAAGCAGTGAATACACTTACTGTTGAAATCAAGAACTTATTCCTCATGTGATGTCCTGCTTGAAAGGGGATATGGTCTATTTTCATCAGCTTGGCCCATCCACTTAACACTTCAGTTTTGCTAGTAGCGCTGTTGTACCGGCCGGCTTCTCTCTGTCAAGTGCTGGGCTTGTCCTGTCCTGGGAGAGGCAGAGAAAGAGCAACAGTGAGGTGGGGTGAGAGGGGGAGGGTTGCAGACTGGAGGACTGAATATTAGAGCCACAGACAGAAAGACTGCTAGATAAAAGGGACTTAAAAGGAAGCCGAGATTGTTGTGTCAGCAGGTATAGAGTTTAGGCAGTACACTGAGGCATATCAGAGTACCCTTATGTCCTCACGAGATATTTGCATCAAAACTACAAAGATTCATGACTGGCCAGTATTATTTAAATCAGTCTCTGGTTTTGATCTCTGTGACAATGTCAATGACAATGTCTATGCATTAGTTACTGATTTACAGAGTGTAATTATTGCTTCATAAAAAGGACATTATAACTGGACATGAAAACTAAGGCTGATTATCTTTGTTTGATCCTGGTTTGAATCCTGTTGTAGTTCTGGTTTTGTCCTGGCCCAGTCCAGGTTTACTTCCAGGATTAGTCATAGTATAGTCCCAGTTTTGATGTGGTTTGTGTGCAAATGTGTACACAGCATAGATTTTTATAAAGCAGACCATTGAGCATTTGGAAACAAACTAAATGTATCACTTGTTATTATGCTCCAACTATGCTCCAGTGTTTTCAAAGTGCACCTTTACTCTGTACTATTTATGTTTTGTCATGAGACAGCATGGCATAGTGAGACCATCTGACTCACGAGTGTCCCACATACTGACAGTTCACAAGGCTATTTACAGACGGTATCACGGATTGTTGCCTCTACTGCTCATAACAAAACCTGCTAAAAATATAATCAACATACCACACCAGCTCCTGTTTTAAATCCTTATGTGTGCAAACTGGTAACACATTCAATCAGCCAAGACATACAAAAGGACTCACCAACCCCCAACAAAGCTCATTTTACTGAAGGTATATCATCATATCAATTAAAATCAAGTCATACTGATTACACCATTGTCTAATATTACATTTTTAAAAGTACAGAAACATTTGTTGTGGTAAAAACAAATTAGTATTTGACATGTTAGGGTTAGTTTGTCTTTGACTCAATATATTTTCTTATTCACTTTGTGACCTCTGTTTGTCTTGCTGTGAAGGATATCCCAAACACAATAGAGCACAGATGGGGACTAACTCACTTCCTGCAACTTTGGGCTGCTCAGAAGTGATCTTAAATGTCCTTGCTAGTCTGACCTGTCCTGTGTCTTGAAGATCACATCTACAGCAATGATTTACAACGATGCGTAGCTTATGTGAGGTGTACCTATTATTCTGCTACGTCAAAGTAAAATACTTATCAAATGAAGATCATTTGCTTCCTTGTAATAATCCTCTTGAAATGTTTAGGGTAGTGTTAGCTATCCCTGTATATATTTATATATTTATATATTTCTGTATTTTACACAATACACAAAACATTGGCGAGGTTGACCCCCTTTTACATCTCTCTCTGTTGAATGCATACTGTATGATGTATGAGGGAAAAACAAAGGTGCCATTCAGAACCCACCTCAAATTTGTGTACTGAGGCTGCACCTTCAGCCACAGTCCCATTGTTGGACTAAAACCCTCTGTTGTACAGCTTGCTGGTAATTAATCTGTTTAAACATGAAATCTGCAAGGAACCGGTTTTGCAGTATCAACTCAAGTACACCACATTTAAAATGAACATCCAAATTTGGGGGAAAAAACAAATTGAATTTTAAGGTTATTTCCAGTACATAACCAACAAGTGTGCATTAGGAAAGTTAGCAACATAATCAAAAACAAATGAAAAAAAATTGAGGTATAATATCCCGTTACTTTTTTTAACCAAAGCAAAAAGTTATAACCACGCTACATCGGAGCCGGAGCTCATTTCCAGCGAGCAGATCCCACCCAGAAGTACAGGCTTCATGGAAATTTTCCCTAACCAAGTTTGGACAAAAATGAACCCCCGCGACAAACACATTTTAGAGACATCAAAGAGCACGTTTATACTTTAAAAAACCTAAAGAAACGGGGCTTACTTACACATTAGAACAGTCATGTCCGGTTAGGATCGCACTTCTCGGCGGAGTTTTTCTCAGTTGTAAACTTGGAGCTGTCATAGCGGTCGGTCAGCTCTGTGTTCTATTTGGTGACCTTCAGAGCAAGGCATTATGGGATATGTAGTTAAAATTAACAGTTCCTTTTGCTGTACAATTGCCATATGGCTTGTGCGAAAAGTAAACAGTAGGTTACGTTAGCCTACTCATGATGATATTGCTTTATCATATTTGAATATTATGCCATTTATATGCTTTATTCTTATAGTGACAACTGGTTTTTGCCACTATGCGTAATTTTGTGTTATATTTGGCCTGGCTTTATAGTAGTCACATGAACGATGTTACAGGCCATGGATATTTGTCATTGTTTGGACAAATTAAATAAACTAAAATTGTGAAAAGTTATAAATTAATCTGGCAAACTTGACTAAACTTGGCTAAAAGCTATGGTCATAATCTTGTGATAGAGCTAAAGGTTATTCGTAACATTAGTTCATAAAAAGACATTAATTCATAAAAGTCCACTTGTTTTAATTGATTTGGATATATCCAAAGAATCTTTGACGATAACCGGACAGTATTAAAACCCCATAGTTATGGCTCTACGGTTGTAGATGTTATTTCTAGCACATGATTCATCCCAATGTTTTGAAATGCTGAACTATTTACACCACAAGGTCCAGAAACCAAATATGACTGAAAATATGCGCCCACATACAAAACACACAGTCGACTGGTGGAACTGTGTCTCCCTCTACTGGTAATACAGACTATTTCCAAGCGTAAAACAAAATTAAATGCCTATTTATTTAAGAATTGATGTAATAAATCAATTGAAGTATTTTCCTTGGTTCCAGTAGTAGCCTATATTACAACTGTAGGCCTATAGCCTATGCTATACACACTTGGCTGACCATAGCAAGTAAAACATTATTGCAATATTGTTGCAAATGTCTAAAGTATAGGCCTACTTGGCCTTTGGTGACTTTTTCACTTCACTCTACTTTCTATTTGGCCATAAGTCCAGGCAACAGGACAGTGTCTCATGTCCTCCATTTGTAAGTCATGATTAATAATTAACCATAGTGTCTCCATCAATCCACTATCCAGTGCTTTGGCCGGCTTCCTCTCACAGGGACAATGAGCCCATTTCCTGTGGTGTGTGTGCAGTACATGGGGCTAAAGGCAGATACAGAGCCGTATTGTGGAGCAGAGGCTTCATATCAGCTTGTCCTCCACTGGAATGTGAGTCAGACTGGACTGTGAGACAGACTACATGAGCTGCTGGAGCACAGCTGGGCTTAAAACATACATGTTGAGAGTGAGCTGGTGTAACCCGTGTAAATCATTTTATTTTATTGCATTAAATATGAGAACAAGAAGTCTCAAAAGCAAATCATATGTTTTATTCATGAGAACTTCGAATCAGAGATTTTTTTTTTTAATCAGTTACATCTTTATAATGGGTGGCCTACTTGAATTGAGGGGCATTCTAATGGGGACATATAAGGTCTCCTTAACATACACATAGATAACCTTCAGTATTTCATACTACTGACATCTAGAATGTGTGATTATATTGACTAGAATTAGGCCCATACTGTATGTGGTCTTATGGTGTTTTTCTCCAGGCTATAGTAAATAGATGTCTGTTTTGTCTGTTTTCATGCCTATAATGCATAACCTAATACAATCAGCCCCACAGGCAGCATATAGTCACACAACAGTATTAATAAGGTTTGAAGATTTTTCACAGCTTTATTGTGCATTAGTCCATGTTTGAGAAAATGTGTAATAAGTGGTTCAGCATCGCTTGAAGTATGCGGCACTACACACTTACTGAAAATAAGCACCATTGTCAAATTGAACGATACACTGGCCTATCTATTCAGAAAGATTATTTGTCTTATTGTTATTGTTGAATCATAATATGTTTGATCAAATTTAACTTGGTGAAAATGTGAGTAGCGTGGGATCCTGCCTTCTAAGTTGACTGTACTTCAACATGGAGGAGTTTGTGAGTCCTTCCCGGCTGCAATGACTCATGGGGCGCCTGGTTTCGACATGAGATAAAGGTGTGGCTGTACGTCATGCAGGTGCACAAAATGGCTGCTGCTCTAGAGCCTTTATGAAACGGACCACTTGGAGAAATGCATGAGCTTGGAAAGCGTTCTAAAGTTGAATGAAACAGAAAACAAAAGTGGGCTGAAACATGAATGTAGCATGACAGGCTCATTACAAAAAATATAGTTTATTTTATTGATTCAACTGTCTCAAATGTCTTTCTTAGTTGTTTTGTGTCGTTTTCATCTCCTCAAATTCAACTGGTTATTTCCAACAATAGAAGGAGCGCCCCTTGGCTGTGGCAGTAGCCTACAGAAGGGTGGGGTCGACTAGAAGGGGGCGGAGTTACGACCGACGTGACGCTTGTTTTACTCATTTTTGTTCATAGGACTATCCGCCCGCAGCAGCTGTGGAGGGAGCGGAGAGAACTCTCAAGAAAAGTGCAACGACCCGAAACAACAACGCGGACTTGGGATATTACAGCGGCATTACGCGTTTTTAACAGGTACGTAGCCGACGTTTTCTGTACCGTGCCTTACAAAACATTTTACATCGCGTTTGATTTTGCGTAAAAGAAAGTGCGCACGTTGTTTTGAATGTAACCAATAGACCAGCTATTTTTTGTTAAACTATTCTCGCATGTGGGGTTTATACGAACCAATTGTACTTACCTGATTTGAATCTTTATGCTACAACTTGGCTGTGCCGCTGTCATTTCCGCATGCCTTACTACGGTCTGGGCTCTTCGGCTCATTGAGCGAGGTGAAGCCCTCACTTAGTTAGAACAAACTGGTTTCTCGTTTATTTGCGTTATAATAGACCGAAATTAACTGTCCCAACTCACTCAGAAAACTCATTGCAACCTTTGACAAAGTATCAGTGCGCGCACTCGCCATTTGTCAATAGTCGCAGTGACAAAGTGTCTCTGCTGCGCATGTATGGTGCGCGTGCATGAGGCAGGTGAAAGGGGCACTGTAGTCTTATTTCTAGTAGGCTACTTGAACCGTACCTTCTCAAACTAATCCAATGTACAGACATAAAACATTTATATATTTATTAGTTGCGTCAGTGTAAGCCTCAAAACTAGTTGTTGATTACTGTTGAGAGATGGGTCTACCTTTGAGTTTATAGACAGTTCTGTGGTGTTCAGACTTGTCAGTGATGTCTCCGTGAATTGACCTATTCTTCCATGATGTCATTTAATTGCAGATTAGCAAACCTTGTGGCAGACATACCAAATACTACAACTCAACTAATTTTGTAAACTGTATGTGGCTTCGATACCAGTCTCTCCCAATGTTCTACAATGATTTCACTGTGATTTCAGTAACAACTATTGGAGACCTATTTCAGTAAAAACTATTTCAGATCTACTTAATTAACAAAATAAAATTAGTAAAACATGTCTAATCCAGAACTATAATAATCCAGAACTTTGAAATATATTTCTTTAATATGTGAGAGTCAGCCTGTTTGCTACTTGAATCTCTTGGTTAAAGCCTGTTTGACTCTGTCACAAACATTTTTCTCCATAAATTATTATGACCCAAAGCAGCACTAACAGTTTGTTGCAATAAAGTCATTTCCAGATCATCGCACCCAGCAGTTCAATATGTGTCAGTTTGAATAGGTCAGGCTTACAGCACTTGTCCCGCGACTATGTCATGAGGCAGAGCTTGCTCTGTCTGCCCTCGGGGGTTAGGGGGGTGTGGGTGGGATGGTGCACGACGGGACACTGAGGATGATGACTTATATACTGTAGATTCACTGCTACAGCTGTGATGCAACGGTGCTAATCTGCCCCTCCTCCTGCTTAATGCCCTCATACTGTCCTACATTAGTAGAGCAAGGGGCCAGGAGATTCTTCACTTTATAAATAGGGCCATACTTTGCAAAGGGATTACACTATGGCATATATGCTGACCTCTTTGTCTGTCTGTTGGGTGTCTTAGTCTGTTGGGTGTCTCAGTCCAGTGCAGTGGTACTTGAGGGCCTCATAGTCTCTGTTTGTGTCTCATGTTGTGGGCCCTGCTCTTAGCTCTCTCCTCTCACTCTGCTTGTTCCCATGGCTAAGGGGACGCTGCAGATAGAATTTCTGCCTCTAATGACAGGGGCTTTTGTTGAAAGAGGTCTGACAGCTCTTAATGTCTCTGTTTACCTAGAACATTAAAAGTGCACTGTGTAACTTTTCTGATGGGAGACTGATACTTGCTCCTCTCCATTGGGATTTTAATGCTTTGCCTGGTGTTCTCCAGTACAATATTAAAGTTATAGATTTTTTTTTTTCAATTACACATCATTGTATTGCTTTAAAATAAATTAGAAAACACATACATTCTTACTGTGAGCAGGATTGCTTCTCCACAGATCTGACTTGTAACTTGGCCTAGTTGCGTTACTTGCTTGTCTCCAAGGAGATGGATACATTTAATCCCTCCTTCAGAAGAGTTATATTGCACCTATCTTTAATTTCACTTTTAAATATTACTGTTTTTAAAATGTTCAAGGTAAAATAATATGCATAAAGGGTTCTGACAATGTTGTATCTTGCAAATCTGATAGTATCCCCTAGTATTGTTTATTTATTTGGATCCTTGTGCCTCGCTGTGACCAAATTGACAGCTACTGTTACAGGGATTCTACTTAAACTATTGAGGAATCAGTGCATAATCTGTATTCCAATCACATGAAGCCAAACATATAATGACAATGACATTCTAATCCACTTTCGCCCCAGTTTAATCTGTTCAGTTTTAATTTACTGTGATCGGAAGAAAGAACATGATCTGATGAAGACTACTAGCTGACACATTAGGGAGCACCTGTCCAAGTAGTTTTTATTTTTTGTGAAAGTACAACGCTGTTTTCATTTTCAATCACTTTTGGCTAGCGTAGAGCGTTCTTGTCAAGGCATTCTCTGCTAAAACAATTAGTCTTAATTGACTTCAACAAAGCAATTACATACCCCACCCATTTGTAATGACAGTCCACAAAACCATTTTCCCCATTTAGGGCTTCTGTTGTACTTGTCCAATAAGACCACTTAAATTTTAGTTTTGTTTTCTGCACCACACAAACACAGGCCAATGATCTGCCTGAAAATAGAAACAACAGACAAAATACTTGAGTCTATTCCAGTCCTGACTTAAAAGATGTTTTCACAGTTGGCCACTATGGGCTGTGCTTCTCTCCAAAGTGGATCTGTGCTCTGAATGTGAATGTTTTTCTTAGTTAATTACACTTTAAGCATACGGATAAGGCTGTGGGTGTGGCTGAAACATGCAGGGAATCAAAGGTAGGCTTGACTTGTTAGATAAGTAGCAAGTAGTATCCGGAAGTTTGAAAATCTACTGTACAGCTAAATAGTTGTGTCCTTACGTGTGGTCACAGTCAGAACCCCCGGAGTCTGCACTATTGAACCAATTTTGGCTCATTTTGCTAAACACGGATAAACTCAAAAATGCATGTTTTCATTTTTCTCCCTCCTTCCAACTATTGCAGCAGAGTAGTGTGTTGTGCCAAGACTGGATTTAATTTTGCGCTGCTAAATCATGCCTATTGGCCCAAAGATAGAACGAGGCAGGTCCCCAGCTTCACCACATGTCAAAGATTTTTTTCACTTATAAAGAAAGATGTTGTCATTGAAAAAGAAATACAAGTCAATCAATTTCTCTAAATTAATTATTTGCATTTTAACATAAAACTTGATATAGAGCAAATGGCATCTCTCCCAGGCTTTGCATGTAGATGGAGAACTCTGATCTCGAACTTGTCGACACAACTTTTTCCTTTGGCTCTGTCCTCCGGCTGGTCTCTGCTGGCTCCTGCCTTGCTCTCCCAAACACCCACCTTCCCCCCTCCTGCTCCATGTGTCTCTAATCTCCCTGAAAAATTAATCATCTGTCACATCGCCTCAGCTCTCAGACACACGTTGGACCGCAGTGGCGCAGTCTCATCCTTAAATAGGGCTTTGGATGCTCTTGGTCTTGGCATTCACATTGGGTCCACAGATGCACTGCCTGAGCCTTCTTGATTTGCTCCAGCTCTTTCGCTCAGGTCCAGCGGGACACTCCACAAACGGCTTCCTATTCACACAGATAGCTGTCAGTGGGACAATGCCGCTACTCTTTTCCTTTTCGGACACTGCAAAGTCACACACTGGTTCTCTGTCCAGACTTACTTCATCTTCTTCCTTCCTTCCTTTGTCCATCTGTCTTACTAGGGGTGTGCAAAAATTAAATTTACCAGTGATAAGCTTGGGGCTTTTTCACTGACAGGCCATCTTATTTATGTGATAGTAAAATTGTGTTTTGGGGGTGGAGTTTAGACTTTGCAGGAACATGAGATGAGAGATGAAGAAAACAGTCATTTGTTGTTCAAGTAGAAAGACATTAGACAACCACATATTGGTGTCTGTCTACAAACAATTTCATTGCTGTAATATTATACAGTAATAAAATGTTTTTGTTTTGTTTTTTTCAGATACCCTTCCCATTGCAATCCTCTTTATTAATTTAGCATTTGGGCCATCAACACATGACAAAAACATTTCTTTACCACAAATATTGTAGCCTACTAAAACTAGGATTCTTTATGCTTTTTTCATTCCACCAATTGAATGCGACTTACACAGTCATTCTCGAGTTATGTTTTTTAGTCTTATGGTTATGGTGCATTGTTTTACTCTCAATGCTAACCCTGTTCCTCCACATGTACATGCTTCCCTCATAAGGCCAAAACAACTTTGTGAGCTTTGTTGCCTGGAGATTTATGGCTTTGGTTTGGATAAGTTTCTGCCTCACTCATTCACTCTGTCTTTATCAGCCATGGTGTAACGTGATACCGCTGCTTTAAGCTCCTCCCCCTCCTCCAGATCACATTTCCTCTGATTCACAGAAGTCCCACTTGGAGTAAACAAAAACGGTATCAGAGTGCATCTACTGCACCTACTGTTAAACCCACTGCAATCACCTTATTCCAGTTATTCAGTTATTATTCCAGTTGCCATGTTTGATTGGCTTTCTGTGTTGCACAAGTTTACAGCTGCTGTGCTGGAGAGCCTGCTGGTATGTCCTCACTCACTGCTCTGCTCTGGCATTTATTATCTGCTTGTCACACTATTGCAAAAGGCACCCTCTTTGTATAAGTTAGTTACATGAGTGACAACTAGGGAGTACACTGTGTCAGGTTTTCATGTTACGATTATTGTCACAATTCTGCAAATATTCCTGAACATTGATTTAATAACCAAAAAAATGAAGAATCCATAACTAAGTAGGCATTCCCACTCTTTTATTGTGTGAACTGCAAATTATCTTTTGAAAGACCTCTTACGATGACTGTGAAATACATTACAATTGCCAATTATGCATACCACCAGTTGTTATAATTGTCCCCAGTGTACATGTCTAAATGGATGCTTGACCATTGTGATTGCATATATGGATATTTTGGTTTGGTTTCTTCTGAGATTAAATACCTACTCCAGTTTCCAGTGTATTTGTCCTGTCATGCAGCTGTTTAAATTATAGGCATTTTTGATATCTCTTTAATTTAGTTTACATTCCTAAGTTAAAACTGTTCTTGACACAGTTTTGTATTTTTGTATTTTACCTATTTTACCTATACTGAGGCTAATGTTTTCTATGTGTCATCTGACCTCAACTGGACAGTCCTAACCAGTCCAGTAATGTTGACCACCACTTCCTGTCCCCAACCACAGTGAATCACTGAACCATTAGCTGTGCGTCACTTCTCATCCCCTGTATTGATCCATAAGTCAGAACTCTTTCCACTAAGCCCTCAAAACAGCCACAGACCTGGGGCAGAGTGGCCTTGTGTGCTGGGGTAAGAGGGGGCTCCTTCTCTGATACACAGATA